CCCTCTTTATGAGGGCTGCACCTTTATGGCTAACCACCTCGCAAAGGTCCCATTTACTAATACCAACACCGTTTAAAACTTAGAATTTCAACATATGAATTTGGGTGCGGGGACACAAACATCCAGGCCATAGCATTATGTAAATAGATTTAGCATTATGTAAATAAATTTTTTCTTTTTTTAAGATTTTACTTTAGTTATTTTTAGAGAGAGTGGAACAGAGGGAGAAAGAGAAGGAGAGGAAAAACCGATGTGAGAAATAGCTCGAATGTGCCCTGACCAGGGATGGAACCCATAACCCAGGCATGTCCCCTGACCGGGAATCCAACCTACAACCTTTAGCTTCATGGGACAATGCCCAAGTACTCAACAGTGGTCAGGGCATAAATAGACTTGTTTTGAATCTGTAAATTTCCATCAATTTATCTCATTATACCTAGAGATTAGCTATTCATTTATAGGCATTCCCCAACTGAATTTTGTTTCGTTATCTTTTTTTAAAAAAAAATTATTTACTGATTTTTTAAGTATATTTTATTGATTATGCTATTACAGTTGTCCCATTTTTTTCTCTCCTTTATTCCCCTCCACCCTGTACCGCCCCCTCCCACCAGCATTTCCTCACCCTAGTTTATGTCCATGGGTCACACACGTAAGTTCCTTGGTTTTTCCATTTCCTATACTATTCTTAGCCTCCCCCTGTATATTTTGTACCTATCATTTATGCTTCTTATTCCCTGTAGATTTTCCCCCATTCTCACCCCTTCCTCTTCCCTATGATAACCCTCCATGTGATCTTCATTTCTGTGATTCTGTTTCTGTTCTAGTTGTTTGCTTAGTTTTTGTTTTTATTTTTTATGTTCAGTTGATGATAGTTGTAAGTTTGTTGTCATTTTACAGTTCATAGTTTTGATCTTCTTTTTCTTAGAGAAGGCCCTTTAATATTTCATATAATAAAGGCTTAGTACTGATGAACTCCTTTAACTTGACCTTATCTGGGAAGCACTTTATCTGCCCTTCCATTCTAAATGGCAGCTTTGCTGGATAGAGTAACCTTGGATGTAAGTCCTTCCCTTTCATGACTTTGGAATACTTCTTTCCAGTTCCTTCTTGCCTACAAGGTTTCTTTTGAGAAATTAGCTAGTAGTGTTATTGGAAGTCCTTTGTAGGTAATTCTCTCCTTTTCTCTTGCTACTTTTAAGATTCTCTCCTTATCTTTAATCTTGGATAATGTAATTATGATGTGCTTTGGTGTGTACCTCCCTGGGGACAACTTTTTTGGGACTCTTTGAGCTTCCTGGACTTCCTGGAAGTGCATTTCCTTTGCCAGATTGGAGGTGTTCTCCTCCATTATTTTTTCGAATAATTTTTCAATTTCTTGCTCTCCCTCTTCCCCTCCTGGCACCCTTATGATTCAGATGTTGGAATGTTTCAAGTTGTTCAGAGGTTCCTCATCCTCTCTTCATTTTTCTGAATTCTTGTTTCTTCATTCTGTTTCTGTTGGATGTTTATTTCTTCCTTCTACACCAGATCATTGATTTGACTCCTGGTTTCCTTCCCTTCACTGTCGGTTCCCTGTATATTTTTCTTTATTTCACTTTGCATACCCTTCACTTTTTCCTCTATTTTGCAACCATTCTTAACCATTTCTGTGAGCATCCTGATTACCAGAGTTTTGAACTCTGCATGTGATAGATTGGCTATCTCTTCGTCGCTTAGTTCTTTTTTTGGAGGTTTGGGTTTTTTTAATACTTTTTTATTTTTTTAGATTTTATTTATTTTTTGAGAGGGGAAGGGAGGGAGAAAGAAAGGGAGAGAAATATCAATATGTGGTTGCATCTCGCATGCCCCCTGCTGGGGACCTGGCCTGCAGCCCAGTCATGTGCCTTATACTGGGAATCCAACTGGCGACCTTTTGGTTCACAGACTGTGCTTAATCCACTGAGCCACACCAGCTAGGGCCTGTTTTTAGAGTTTTGATCTGTTCTTTCATTTGCTCCATATTTCTTACCTCCTTGGACTTGTTAAATTGTAAGGGGCAGTACCTTAGGTATTCACAAGGGTGGGGCAACTCATGTTGCTGCATTGTGGCACAGTATGTGGGGGAGGGGTCTGAGAGGGAACAGCGCTGCTTGCTTGGCTCCCAACTGGCTTTCCGTTACTTCCCCTGCTACCCACGAGCAAATTGGGCCCTTCCGGTGCTCATTCCCTGGTGGGTGGGTTTGTGCTCATTCTAAGACGCTATGGGTCTCTCCAAGGAACTATCCTGTGAGGCTGGGAGTTTCTCCCACTGCTCCAACCCCCACAGGTTTTTATAGCCAGAGGTTTTGAGGCTTTCTTTCCTGTGCTGGAGCCCTGGGCTGCACTGTCTTGCGTCCCCCAGTTGTTCCTTCCTGTTTATCTGCACACAGATGTGGGACCGCCAGTTGCACCTCGCCCACTCGTTCCTCCCACTGCTGTCTTGCCACAAGTCCTCTCTGTCCCTGCTGCCCGTCTCCACCCCTCCTGCTGGTTTGGGTGACTGTTTCTTCTTTACCTCCTTGGTTGTTGGACTTCCATACGGTTCAATTTTCTGGCAGTTCTGGTTGTTATTTGTTTTTAAATTTATTGTTGTCCTTCTGTCGGTTATGAAAGGTGGCAAAGTGTATCTACCTACGCCTCCGTCTTGGCCAGAAGTCTTTCTTTTCCTTTCTCTTTCTCATTTTATTTATTTATTTTTATCGTATTTGTCCCAGCTGGATTTAAAAATTACATTTTTAAAAGTTCTTCACTAGGAATTAGATTTTGTTTCCCCCATAGTAACTTTGAATTGAACTTGTATTCCAAGGCTAACCCACAATTATTCAATGTACTAGAGACTATTTCTGTGTTTTGATAGATAGAAGGAAATAATAGCATTGCAGTTTTAGTTATTAATGAAACAAATCTTGAGCACAAGAAATTATCATTAATATAATGCTTAAGGAAAATTTTTATATAATTTGAGAGATGATCTTATTAGAAATTTAGGGTAAATCTGAAAGAGGTCTCTGGATTTCATTTAACTACTTTACTTAAATTATGAATATATACATATACATAAATGAATCCAACCCTATTTTCACCTCTGTTGGCCTGAAGGTAGTCTTTTTTTTCTGTTGTAGGGGTTTTTTTGTTTGTTTAGTTTGGTTTGGTTTGGTTTTTGTTTTGTTGTTTTGGTTTTAGGAGTGTGTTTTTGGAAGGGGTCTGCTAGGAATTCCAAAATAAAATGAAGAAAAGACTGATGATACTGAGTAAGTCTTGGAAGAGAAAAGAAGCATGTTGGAGACTAGAAGAGAATGAGAAAATTGGGGAGGCGAGCTGGATTTGACATTCAAAGAAATTTTTTCATAAAAGAATTGTTTCACTGTTTTTCCAAATAATTAGTAATAAAATTGACTCTCTAGTCAATTAATAGGTTAATACTTAAAAGATATGTGTTTAGTAATATGTTGAGTGAGATTATAGATAATCTTTTAGTTAATTCATGATAAATTTTATGCTTATGAATCAGTAATAGTATACTTGTAAATTTGTTTGATACTAGGTAACAAAGCAATACTTGGAGTAAATGGAATGAAATCATATTGAGAAACAGGTTATATGTTGGGAAAAATTTCCATTTATGAGTCTTCAAACAGAAAATTGGTAAAATACTCCCTGGAGGGTTAAGTCAGTGGTTTTTGGATATGTCCTTCTCTAAATTTCAAAGATCCTTGCTGGATCTTAGATTTTTATAATTTCTTTTAATCCAATGATCTATTTATATCATCCTTTTATCAAATTTTTCTTTATATAGATATAGGTTCAGTGAATTAAGACCAGTGAATCACTGGTTTTACACCATGTATAGTGTATAAAGCAAGAGTTATAATGAAACATAACATGGATTCCCATTTCAGAATGCTCACTGTTTGCTTGAGGAAACAGCTCATATAGTAAGTAATGGAGATAAAACTTTTATAACTTTTTCAGTGACTTACTTTTACCACTCAGAATTGAAAGCATATCATCCCAAAGTAAGCTTTAGAATTGAATCTAATACTGGTGATATATGTGCCAAATCTAATGCTTGCGGCCTCCTTCCCAACCCTCCATATATGAATTGAAAATGCCCTGCCCTGCAGGAAGATTGAGTTGGAAAAATACTTGTCTCTTCAGACAGAACAAGGATCAGAAAGGCCCAAGCAAACTTAATGGGGGATGAGGTGGCTTCTTTAGAAGGAAGGTCAGTGAAGTGCTCAACTCCCAAGTTTGTAGAACAGCTTACTTAGGAGGAGGAAGGGAAAATGATATTGGTAAAATACCTCTGCAGCACTAGAATTCAGAAGACACTGGAACAGCATCTATAAACTACTGAGAGAATTTTTGATTGCAGAACAAAAATAGCATACATAGTCAAAAATATCAGGGCAGGGAACAAGACAATTTTGGAAATGCAAGGAATAAATAAATACCAGCTGTGGACCTCAGATGCCAAGGTATCTACTTACATTGAAGCATAATGTACTTGTGAAGATGAAGAAGGAAATCAGTACACTTAATCAAAATCTTTGTTCTGCTTGTGTGTCCCTTTCCACCTCATCCCAGTCCCAAGCCACCCCCCAAATACACCCCCCACACACTTGTTTACTATCATTTTGGTGAATTTTTAGGAAGGGGGTGAGGTAAAAGCTTGTGCTCAACCTAACACCTTGATTTGGGAAATCTGTGTTTAAATTGCTGTACTTATTACCACAGAAGTTGTTATGGAAAGCTGTTGGTCACCGTTCTTACTGCGAGCAAATAAACCAGATGTGGCAGATTTAAATGAAAAAAAAGGGAGTCACCAACAGGGTACTACTGGGTGACTCAAAGGGTCCTTGGGAAGGCTGGAGAACCAGGCTTAGTGGACTAGCTGGAAATTGTACAAAACTTCGCAGTGACAGCACTGCACCTTCATTTAGAAGTAAATCGCCTTTTTCTTCTCTTTCCAAATGTAGGTTATATATCTGGGGAGAACTCCAGAAGAAGCATATAGAATATTAATGTTTGGAGATACATCCTATATTCCTTTCAGGTAAATATAAGAATGATATGGTAGATTCATTTCTTGAGGCCCTTTCCAGAAATGCCTTGGTGTAGTTGTTTCTTAAAAAGGAAGACTTAGTAAATAGTCATTTTAAGGTGGGTGCAAATAACACCATAGGTTATTATTAACTGCATAGGTTACTCTGAAGTAACACTATTGATATTTTGTTGTGGGGGCTGTCCTGTGTATTGTAGGGTGTATAGCAGCATCCCCGGCTTCTGCCCCCTAGATGCCAGTGACACCTCCATTCCCACAACAGTTATCAAAACTAAAAATGTCTCCAGACTTGCCAGATGTTTCTGGTGGTGGTGGTGGTGGAGGAGGGGGCGGGAGTGGGGGGCGTGGGGAGGGGTTTGCTCCCGCCTGAGAACCACTCTCCTTGATGGAATAACCTGATGAGAATCCTGGACTGTGGTACTCAGAACTACCACAGAGGAGTTTGGTTCCTGGGGAGTTACAAAATAAATTTTCCTACTAGTCCGGAGTTAATTTCTGGGGTAAAAACTAAACCCCTTTTCCCAGGGACGCTGTGAGCAGAGATAGTGGGTGAGGTTGCTAGTATTAACCCCACTACTACAAAAGTCAATAGCCGTGTTCAGAGGTAGGTAAGTAATGTCCTCATACAAAGGGATGAGTCCTCATCCTCCTCTCAAACTTACCAAATGATTGTGCTGAAGACATTTTCCAAAAAAGGCTTTTTCCTTTAAATCAAATTAAGTTCTAAAAGTTTCTCTGTTTACCAAATACTTGACTTAGCTATATAATCTGAATACTTATATCATGCTAAATATATAATAAATGTGTGAAATAATTTTACTTGTTGCATGCTATATGGATAATTTCAAATACTGCATTATTCTTCCACTCATAAATTTACAGTGGATTTAGGATTGTTGCGTGTACCACAAATGCTTGAATTGGAGGGTATGGTCTTGCCTTTAAAATGTGAGGTTCTAAATCTGACTTGATGGTGGACAAGCTTTGGAATGTTGCCCTACCCTTATGCAGAATCTCCTCTTTAAATAACTTTGTAGAGACTGTTCATGGACTTAACTCTATGAAATAGAGATTGGTTAGGACAGTCTGCAGTTACATATTGCACTCAAGACTCTGTATTAGTGATTTAGCAAAGTAGAAGAATTTCTTTGAATGCAATACCCCCTTCTTCCTAGGGCATGGATCATCTTAAGTATTCTGTTATTTGAGGTGGGTAGGAAGAGATGAATGTTATTTTCTAAGCTGGAGAGTGCCCCATTTTTCTTCTCAACCTAAAATATAGCAACAACCATGTACTTTCTCTAGAAAAAAATGCTTGTATTTTTGGTCCCTGAGTGACAGGTACATTGATATAGTGATAATTTTGTTTTACAGAACTCTTCTTTATTCTTTATATTGCTGATCCTTTATGATAGTGCTATTCTTCAAGTTTCTAACAATGTTTTGAAATATGAATAAGCTCACATATTTCACCTATTCAAGTGAGGATCCATGAAACACTGTTGATGTAAAAGAAGTTGTATGTTCATGTAAATATTGAGGCCAAAAATAGAATAAATATTTAAAATTAGTGGAGTTCAGCACTGAGAAATGAACTTAGTTACTTCTGGTCTCAGGAGTAACTAATAAACAGGACTTAGCTAGAAACAGTTCAGGTTTGTGAAATTTGAATCTCTAGTCACAGATGCCAAACATTTGATTGATCTAAAACATTATTTCTCAAACCGGGGCCTGTGACACAGGGCCAGACTGTGGACTTTTTGTTACTAGCTTATGATGAGATAAGCACAGGAATTGAGTGTAAAAGTTTAGAGACTTTTATAGTAATTTAATAGAATGTGTTTATGTTTGTCGCATCAAATAATAGAAGAATTTTGGCTTATGTTTTTTTCAACTTTTCTAGTAATTCATTTTTACTTACAAAAATAAGATTATTGAATCATTGTGTGTATGTAATGGTAGAATATTGTTGTATTTTATATTGTATTTTACAAAAGTATCAGCCTATAATGTTAAAAAATTTAGTGCTTCACAACGTTTTATTGTTCTGTAGAACTTACTGATTAGATAAAACATGGAATATTTTGGAAAAAAAACTGCATTACAATAGCATGTTGTCCTTGCCACTTTAAGTTCATAGAATATAACTGCTAACAAAGTATGTTAGCAAGAGATCGTGTAAGGAAAGCATTCATTTACCATCAATAACTTTTATGCTTCATAGCAATATTTAATTCAACTTAGATATAATTCTTCAACTACCAAGTTTACATCAATGTATGATTTCTTTTTTTAAATTATTTTGTATTACGGTTTACTTTCAATATTATTTTGTATTAGTTTTAGGTGTACAGCATAGTGGTTAGACAGTCACATTCTTTACAAAATGGTTCCCCTCATATTTCAGGTACCCACCTGGTGCTGTACATAGTTATTACATTATTATTGCATATGTAATATATGATTTCTTAGTGAATTATTAACTGTTTCTCTGCCTGTCTAAATAAAAAAAATAGTATAAAATAGAGTTCAGCATTTTCTTTTGATACCTTAGGATTATTTTTATAAAGAGGATATAGTTCTATTCTTTGACATACCTAGAATACTCTTGCTTCTTAGTAGATTTCTTTGGCAGGGACAGTCTCTGCGCGCTCTCTCTCTTTTTACTTTTTTTTTTTTTTTTTTTTTTAGAGGTGGTATTGCATAGTTGCTAATAGCTTGGCATTGACATTAAACAGACCAGAGGGCGGCACTCAGCTCTGCTGTTAATATCTCTGTGGTTCTTTACAAATGTGAACCTTGGTCTCCTAGTCTGTCTGCGGGAATGATAGTTGTTTCTCCCTAATAGCGTTGTTAGGATTAAGTAACATCCTACATATAAAACATTTGACATAGTGCCTGGTCCTTAGTTGACATTTGTTTTACATTTGTATTTTTCTTTTTTAGATGTATAACTACATACATTTTTTAAAAATCACTAATTTTATTTATATAACCCAGTTAACTTACTTCTGCATATGCAACTACCATCCAGTTCAAGATACAGAATATTGCCAGCGTCCTGACGACGCCCTGCACCCCCTTTACAGTCAGTAATCCTTTCAAGCTATGAGTTCTGTCACCATCGGTTAGTTTTTCTTGCCTTTGTATGTTATATAAGTGGAATCATACAGTGTGCATTTTGGAGAGCTGGAATCAAGCTTTTTAAACACCATCTGGGAGACTTATCCATGTGTGGCGAGTATCAGTAGTTTTTTTTTTGTTTTTTGCTGTTTTTTTACTTTTGTAGCATACCGTTCTGTGAGTATGTCACAGTTTATTTATCCACTGTCATTTTGATGGGTAATGGGTTATTTGCAGTTCTGGGCTATTAAATACATTCTCACATGAAAGCTGTTACTCTTAAAAACTAGTATTTGACATTATTTTGCATTTTCTAAGCAATCCTCCATCATTGATTCTCATCTGATTTTCGAAGTTTGTTAAATGATCAAAGTGCCAAACCCCCTCTTCCCGCCAAAGGCCTACCCCCAAATTCATAGCCGCTATTTTACTGTTTGGAAGAGGGCTGATTGCTTGGGGGTGGGGGGAGGTGTTAATGAAATAAACATGAGTGGATCAAAGAAGATTTTTGTTGTCTGTTTGGATAGTGTGATGTATGAGGCAGAGCTATAAGCCAAGCCCAGATTAGAGCTTGTGCAATCATTATTGACTAGCGCAGGGTTTGGCCCAGAGTTCTCCAAAAATATGCATTGAATGTATGTATCAAGTCGTCACAAAGATTAAATCAACATGTCTTAACCTAATTGGAAAAGAATTATCAATAGGTTAAGAAGATAATCGCAGCTAACTGAGGAGACATGGCTAAAAACACTGGAATGTAACTTGAAAGTTCACCTCATTTCTACTGATAATCTTGATTTTGATTTAGAGGGAAGTACTTCATTTTCTTGACTTAGCTTCTCTAAAAATATTCCTTATTTCATGAAACAAGTATTTATGTTCATTTTTATAGGCCAGGGGTTCTTAAACAGAACACACACATATCACACACATTACCTGGCCCTACCCCTAGAGCGTCTCTCTCAGCAGGTCTGGGGTGCAGCACGAGAATGGGTGTTGCTCACAGCTCTGTTGATACTGATGTTGCTGGTCCAGGGACCCCACTCGGAATCACTGCTGCAGGTCATGTTGTTTTTCTCCTTCCAGAATATTGTCAACAAGCTATTGGTAATACAGAGACTTTTTCCAGCTTTTAGAGGAGCAGCATTTTAATTCAGAATCTTATAGAGCAAAGATGACATGTTATAAGACCTCATGTGCAAGCCTCATGAAGGCCAACATACAATGTACCTCAGTAATTCTAACCAATTCAGGCAGTAACATCTAAATCTGTTTTAGCTGAGATGGTTGCTTGCTCTTGTCCTCATTTTTACTTTATGTTGCTATAATCATCTACATTCTTAAGATTTGTGCAAGAATGAAAATTTTTTTATTTGGAATTTAAAAAAATATTTTTATTGCATTTATTGAGGTTATATTGGTCAATAAAATCACATAGGATTCAAATGTGTAAATTTATTTTTTAAATCTTCATCCATTTCCTTTTTTTAAAGTCTCTTATTGTTGTTTTAGAGGAATTAAAAAATTTTTAATGTGCAGTTTAATTTTTCAGGTAAGATTACAATATGAAAACACAACCAAGGCAGGCAGTTTTTAGCTCCAATAGCTGTTCTCTTCCACCTTGGGATCAAATAATTACCATTCAGATAGGTGCAATTGTTTGGCATGTCTAGAATGAACATAATGAAATTAATTTTTGTCTTATTTAATTCCAAAAATTTTCACTTTGTAATGGCTCAAGTTAGTCGAAAAGGAGAAGCAGGTGGAAGTGGAGGAATGGCTTATTTTTCTGGACAAAACCTTCACAGATATTAAGAGACATCTAGTAAGATTATTGATGTATTGGTGCGGTGTAGGGCAGAGTTGCCTGCGAACTAACTTAAGCACTTTCCAGGAGTAGAGTGATTGTACTAAGGGTTGTTGATGCCTTGTATCCTGTGATTTTATCAGTACCGTCATCCTTTAAGAATAAAGATCTTATCCACGTTAAATTGTCAAAAATTGTAAAACCATAATTAGAAGAGAAAAATGCTTTTTAGCTTGCACATAATATTTCAAATATTACCTTTATTTTTTTTCCTTGCTTGGATGCAGATATACACAAACACACACATGCTCCCCCTGCCCCCGATATATATGTACAGAATCAAAAAGCAGTCTTTCCTGGTAACAGTTTGATCCGCCCCCCCCCCCCCCCCCCCCAGTATAAAGAAAAATTCAAGTGCCTTGACCTTTTGGGACAGGAGTCCATATTATTGATTAGTAACTCTTGAGCTCAGCCATCAAAGCCAAAAGCGATCCAGAGAGATCATTTACAATTCCAAGTGGTTATTATAGATCCACATCTATAAAACGGTATCTACTGGAATAGGTAGAAATGACAGTAAAATTTATAACAGTGCTCACCTTTTATTTAAAAACCAAATGGCAAGAACTTTCTTCCCTTTGTTTCCGAGACTTGCTCCAAGTATGTGTTTGATTTTAAGTTCTAGTCAGCTTTGTTTTGAGGTCAGTGTACTGCAAAAAATTAACTGAGCTATGTATTTCTATACTTTTGGCATTTCAGAGATGCTGCCTATGGGAGCTGCAATTTCTTCATTACTCTTCTTGACTGTTTCCATGCAGTGAAGAAGGTAAGTGATTGGCAGGATGCAGCCACTGATACGTTGGAGAACTGAATTACAGTCCAAGAAGGATTAGGCCTTCTTCCCCAGAGACCTTCCAAGATGTGCATGATATCAGAGGTATTCCATCTGCCCACTAACTTAGTATGACCCCACACTGGAAAGCTGTTTATTTTGAGTCTGAGAGCTGCTCTGCATGAGTTGGAAAAGCCACTTGAACAATAGGGAAACAAACAGGTATAATTAGGTTCTAAATCCAGAATTGATTTTGAGTATATTGTGATTTCAGAGAAAAACAGAAATGCAATAGAATACTGATGTCCAAGTTCTCTTTGATTTATATATTTATAGGTCTGATTCCCACCAATCCTATTTACATTTTTATCACACACTGTCAAACACTTCATTTTTGTGTCTTCAAGCAATTTCTAATTCAACAGAATTTGAATAGTCCATTAGCCTGTTGGTAAGTTTTAAATAGAACTAAGTAGGTCACTACTGCTTTGTCAAAGCTGTCTGTTTATCATCCTCCCCAAGGGTATTTTTATTGATTCTTAGAGAAAGAGGAAGGGAGGGGGGTGGAGAAAGACAAACATTGATCTGTTGCCTCCTGTACGAGGGACTGAGCCAGCCAGCCAGAGGTCAAAGCTATTTTATTTTATTTTTTAAAGATTTTATTTATTTATATTTAGAGAGGGGGGTAGGAGGAAGAAAGAGAGGTAGAGAGACATTGATGTCAAGGGAAATATTGATGGGTTGTTTCTTGCATATCCCCAGCTGGGGATCTGGCCCGCAACCCAAGCTTGTGCCCTGACCGGGAATCGAACTGGGGACCTTTTTGTTTGCAGCACAGTGTGCAACCAACTGAGCCACACCAGCCAGGGCTCATGGCTATTTTAAACTAATGCCTGTGTTTTATAAGCAGGGCTGCTTGCTTTCTTTGACTCCAGGGAACACCCTTCATATGATGTTCTAAATGAACAGGGTCCCCTGGGGTTACATAACACAGCAGACCTTGTCTATCACACTCACTCCCTTGGGTATATATTTTGGGTGTCAGGGCAGGACAAGAAACTAGAATTGTAAATCAGTAAGCTTTTAACAATGTCTCAAGTTTGTATTTGAATTGTATTTTCAGAAGCAAAAAGAACCCATGTTTACTTTCTTGTATACTGAAACTTGGTGGCTCTCTAAGAATTTTGAAGGAAATTTTGTAGATTACAGTGAGAGGACTAATTAGAATACAAATTCTGAGATTAATTAGTATATCTTTTTTCCTGTGTCAGACATCAAATACGGAGTTTAATTCTTGTGGGTTTAAGTCCAGGGATTCTGTGGTGTGGAGCTGACTGGGGTGATTGCCACTGGCAATGAGGCAGCTCGGTCAGGCCCTCAATTCAGGCAGGTAATGGGTTCCATCAGATGAGGGGCAGCAGGTATAAATGATTCCTTCTGATTGCAGTTACAGTCCTTGTCAGCTGGACCCCAGGAAACTGCTGATGTTGGCAGGCATACGGTCCTCACACTAGGGCTCCCTTCTCTTAGCTCTCACCACCTTTAGAAAAAGAGCAGAGAAACTATAAGGGCCTAGAATATAGTCTATTATAACAGTGTATAGCTGTTTCTACTGTTAATTCTTGGCTTAGTTTTTGTTGTTGCTGTGGTTTTTTTAAGCAGGTCTAATTAGGAACTGTAGGTCAAAGATTGCTCTTTTCACACTACATTTAATTTTATTTAATTAATAAAAGTATTGACTAATAGCTTTTGATTTTCAATTTAAACATCTATTTGTGACTGATTTAGAACTTCACATATCTGAAACATTTATAAATTTAATTATGTCTTCATTTTAGTGCTATTTCTAATAGGATCTCCTTATGAAATTCAAAGGAGAATAGAAATTTCCTATAAACTGCATTTTATTGTAAGGAACATCTCTAGTCCAAATATCATGACATGTATTGGGTATTTGGAATTCAAAGATAAAATTCATGATGAATTTGGTCTTGGAATTAAAATTTAGATAACTACATTTCATAAAATGAGGACTTTTTTTGCTTGGTATTGTAACCTTCATATTTTACATTTGTATTTTAGTAAATTTTGAAAACTGGGTTTATAATTCATCCCTTTTGAATGAGATGACCTTTTTTTGTTTTGTTTTGTTTTGTTTTTCCATTTGTTGTGGTGACATTGATTAATAATTGTCACCTTGTTGATCAACAACTCTAACTTACCGTCTGGCTGAGAGGATACTGCTCAGAGGCCACTAGTTCGCCCTTGCCTCAGAAACAGAGCCTCTGCTTATTTCACTCAGCCTGCTCTGCTCACTGCAGCTCAGAAGAACAGAAAACTGACGTATTTTTTCTTTTTGAGAGAAGAAATTTCCTCAATTTTGAATTTTAGTGTTGATCTCCAGGCTGTCTGTAGTAGAGGGAACATTATTAATCTCTTAATCCAAGAAGAATTTAAAAGTGAAATTTGTGGGCTTTGTTTGGGATGAACCTACCCTTCTTTTTCTGTATTATTTAAAGCCTGAGTGGTGTTGATCTAATAAATTGGTGGGATTACTTCGAAGGCTTGATTATTTAGCTCTACACAGCTAGGATGATTGTGAAGGAAAATAAATCATCAAATGTTATTAAAATAAATATTGTTATTATCTAATTTTCCAGATAATGGAAGCCTTTAAAAGATATAGCCCACCTCTTTTGAAAACTGTTCACTTGAATGTAATCTAGATATAATAATGCTCTTTCGGGGGTGCTTCCTGATATTAGGAAATTGGATTGGAAATTGTTTCCTTACTTGTATCTTTGTTCTTAAAAGCTTTCCTTTGGATTTTAGGCAATGCAGTATGGCTTCTTTAATTTCAACTCATTCAACCTTGATGAATATGAATACTATGAAGTAAGTTTTCAAGGATATTGGTTTTAATTCTTTTCTTTGTGTTTTGCTTACAGAAGTAGTATTGTTTTTAAAAATATTGAACAATTTAGATGTGCATAGAGTAAAAAAAATCCAGTTTTTATCTTCTTACTGCAGTCGCAGTTCTCCTTGGGGATGTCTGCATTTGATGCATCCTTCCACAGTGAATGAGTGTGCTCCTGAGCACTTTTCTTTAAAGTTTAGTTTACATTTTTTTTTAGTACTGATGACTTTTCATATAGTGCTTAAATGAGGTAATGTTTGTAAACCCCTTAGCATAGATTCTAATGACATGAATAAATTAGACATCTAATTAACCTCTGGAAAATGTTTTTATCATTACCATTTGTATGAAGTCAGGACACCTCTGATTGCAGATTACAGAAAGTAAACACGTGGCTTACATAGAAGGGAAGGTTTATTGATTTCCATAAGTAAAAAGGCCAGGATCACACATGACCAGATTAGGTACTCGGGCACTTACCAGAAGCTGGGCTGAAGCCAGCTTTGCCCCAGGCCAGCCCTGAGCCCCCAGCAGCTTTCGTTCACCGTTTGGCACACTCTCCAGAAAAGGGCATTCATGGCTCCAGCAGAAGATCCGCAGTCTTCTCATTGTCCTGGCTTAGATCTTTGGTCCAGCGCTCAACTAGGCGTGTTTCTAGCAGGGGTGGGGGAGGAGAGGATAGATGGGTGCGTAGAATACAGTGGTCATTCCAGGAGCTAGGGTGTTGGGGTCTCCCTATTAAGCCACATGGGCCAAATAAAGAAGAGAGTCCAGGCAGGAAAAACCGCAGATGTCCAAGACACTTTAACACTGGTTATTTGTTTTTGTTTTTGTTTTTTAAGAAAAGTAATTTGATTCTACCATTTATTCCGCCCTCCAAATAGATAATGAATAAGGTGTTTATACTAAAGGTCTTTTTTTGGTCAAGAATGCTTGTGGAATATTATCTTTTTATCTTACTACAGTTATCTTGAGCAGATATTCTCACTAACACTGGAGTGATTTCACAAACAGCACTTCATGCAGCAGTATCTTGAATTCTCACACATCTGTTCTTTCACAGTTAATTTCTATTTTAAACTCTTAGGCAAAACTGAACTATTTCATTGATGAGAGTAGGGTCAATAGTTACAGTCATTACTGGGATATACCAGAAAGGTAACCCATATCCAGTGACTCATTGGGGTGCACCCTTTCAGCCTACCTTTACTTTCCTGTAATAGTGTTACATTTCCTAAAATACAATATGTATTTAATTACCATATTACACTGTTGACTGTAACTTAATTATAAAATTAAATATTTAAAATATACTTTCTTTTCTATGTAAGCAAAACGGCTAAAAACACCATTTGATGTTCCTTCAAGTGTTGCACAGCGGTGCCTCCGTGTCACTAGGGAGTAGTACCAGCACTGCTTGGCTTCTCTCTCACTAATGTGGAAGTTCCAGTGTGGCAGGGAGTCACCCACAAGTGTTGTTTACTTTCAGTGAAATTGCTTTGAAAGACAGGGAACTGCTTAGGTAACTACAGACACAGGTAGCCCACAGACTGGTTTTGTTTAGTCTCCACAGTGTATTTAGAAATTTTGGATTAGTGTTTCATTGATTCCATGGTGCCCATTTTTTCCCCATTTTAACGTCTCTGAATTCAGGATACACCTGCAATTCAATGAAACCTAACTTAAGGTTTCTTGTAAAAAAACTTCAGATTTCTGGTTTCACTTCAAAATCAGAACACCCGGAGACATTGGTCCTCATTCCTGGTTAGACTTTTTAGTGTGGAATAGGGGCTCATCAGTTCTTTTCCATGACAATTAAGTAATTGGTTTTAGGTTACCTTCCTGGCCTTAGATCAAGCAACCCTTGATGTATTTCCTACTTCTTAGGTACACATATACATACCACATTTGCAAAACTAATTGATCTTATTTTTATCATTAGTTCTCTTCTTCACCATCAAGAGCCTCCTATTTCCTGCTTAAGTCTTTGTGTAACTACTTCTGTTGTTCAATTTGAACTATATCTTATAATAATTGTTATGGTATGTTTAACCCAAAGGACTTAATAAAAGGAAATAAAGTGTATCAAATTTTAGGTTTTTTTCCTGGATACGTACTGTGATCTCAGTATATTTACAATTTCAAATTTCCTGGTGGTTTAGGGAAAATTTTTCAGTGACCATCTTATTTAAATGGCTAGGAAAATGATAGAAAGATGTCTTTCTACAAATAAAAAGTAAATATTGAGATGCCAGGAGCTTAATTAGATAGGTTTTTCTCCTTTGGGTCAAGATTGCTCATATTGGAGGCTAGTCATTCAGGAAAACGGATGTTTCCAGATCCCTCATAATGGAAAAGTTTACTTTTTTATTAATCAGCAGCAGCTATATGAGAATTTACATGGATAAAATAACCAAAGTACTTAGGTAATTTTTGGATAGTAATAGTTGACTTTGTTTTCCAAAAGCTGAGTATCTCAGCAAAGAAACACTTTTAAAAAAAAGTGATTTGGACCAGGAGAAGTCAACTAATGTTTCCCTGGGAATATTCATAGCAGGCTAAATTTTAATTTCCTGTCTCATGGTCATTTGTAGATAGCTTTTGTGCTAAAGCAAATGGATTTGAAGTTCTGCAGGCACTCAGTATTGAGAAGGGGTATAGAGAGAAGATTTAGTCTAAAAATGATTTGTGCTGGTCTTCCCTTTGCAGAAAGCAGAAAATGGAGATTTAAACTGGATAATACCGGGCCGATTTATTGCCTTCTGTGGACCTCATTCAAGAACCAAACTTGAAAGTGGTATGCAAAAATATGGGACCAGTATAGTTTTGTTATTAAAGTATCTATCCTATGTTTTGTTTTTTGTTTTGTTTTCAAAGAGGCATAAGAGTTAAATTAAGCCTGATGGTCTTAATTATTTAAGTGTACATGATCATTTCAGTACTTATTCTGCCTGTATTTTAACTTTTTTAACTTATCTTTTTACAGTTATAATCAAATTGGTATTCAGTCCCCAGTCTAGACACTGTTTGCACACAATTACAGGTGAAATGGTTATTTTTTTATTTTCTTTCTGCATTTTAGAATATTTGGTAATTTCTTTGTGTAGGTTATCACCAACATTCTCCTGAGGCTTACATTCCCTATTTCAAGAATCACAACGTTACTACCATAATTCGTCTGAATAAAAGGATGTATAATGCCAAACACTTTACAAATGCTGGTTTCGATCACTATGATCTTTTCTTTGCGGATGGCAGCACCCCTACTGATGCGATCATCAAAGAATTTCTGGATATTTGTGAAAGTGCTGAGGGTGCCATTGCGGTGCATTGTAAAGGTATGTTTCTAGGATTGGGTCAAGAATGGTGGGCAGCTCTAGCCAGGTGGCTCAGTTGTTTGGAACATTCTCCTGTACACCAAGATGCTGTGGGTTCAATTTCTGATCAGGGCACATAGCTAGGTTAAAGTTTGATCCCCAGTTGGGAGGCAGCCGATCTCTCTCCCCTCTAAAATCAATGAACATATCCTCAGGTGAGTATTAAGAAAAAAGAATGGTGGACACATGTGTATATATGTGTGGAAACACCACATTCATTTAGGTTATATGCCCAGACACACAATGCCTTTGTTTTTACAGAATGCCTTTTTTATCTATTGTAAGTTGCTTTTTTTCCTTTAAAACCACCTTATTGTGGTGTGATTTACATAAAAAAGCTCTACATATAACAGAGCGCTTTTAAAACCTTAATTTCATATGAAAACTATAGTACATTACATTGTGTTCATATGTAACCCTATAAAAGCTTATCACATTGAAATGTATTCATTTATTCATTAAATATCTATTCAGTGCCTACTGTTTGGTAGATTCTAGGATATGTCAATGAACAAAGCAGAATTTAAGAGCTTGTTTTTGTGGAGTTTATATTTTAACAAATTGCTATGTTTTTAGCCATTAGAACACTGCCTGGCACTTAATATAAGAATGTACCAGGATTTATTTAACTTTTCTCCTCTTCTTAGGTAGTTGATTCTGAAGACAAGGAATATATTTTTGTTAAGAAAAATCCAACTTTGGGGGAAAAACCCAGCAAATGTTGGGAATAGCCAAAATCTAATCTCTTAGAGTTACCATAGTATAACAGTTTCAAACCTTTTCATCTTATAGCTTGTATAAACTAATTATTTAATTTCTGTGGCACATCAAAAATATGTATATTTTTACTGATCTGACAAAAAATAGGTATAATTTTTATTAATTCACACCAGACATCTATTGCTGTGTTGGCTGTTGTCATTTTTTTAATTTTATAATCTAAGGGAAAAGAGGTCAGTGCCTCTGACTAAATAGTCAGGTATTTCATGTTTAAAAAATTCTTGGGGCACACTGGTTGAAAATTGTTGCATTAAAGATTTAAATGTCCAGCTTTCTCCAAAACAATCACAAGCTATTCAAAGAAATAGGAAAGTATAACTCATTCAAAAGAAAAAAAATGAACGGAAACTGTCCCTGAGAAAAACCAGATGGTGCATTTACTAGACAAAGATGTTAAAACAGCTGTCTTCAGGGTGCTGAGGGAGCTAAAAGAAAATGTGAACAAATCACAAAAACAGCAAATGAACAAAATGAAAATATCAACATAGGGATAGGAAACTAGAAGGAACCAAAAAGAAACTCTGAAATATACAATAACTGAAAGGAAAAATTCACTGGTGAGATTCATAAGCAGGCAAAAGAAAGAATCAGCAGACTTGATTGTATGACTGTTGAAATGATCAAGTGTGAAGAATTGGAAGAAAAAAGATTGAAAATTGAAAAGCGACCTTAAATATCATAACATGGACCAATGTGTGGATTGTGGGAGTGCCAAAGGGCAAAGTGAAAGGAAGGAGCAGAAAGCTTATTTGAAGGAGTAATTGCTGAAGTTTCCAAATTTGAAGAAAGACCTGAATATAAACATCTACATAACTTGGTTGCAACCCCAAGCAGAGTAAACTCTGAGGACCCACACCCAGATGCATTATAATCCATCAGTCTGAAGTCAGAGACAAAGTGAATCTTGAAGGCAATAGAAATCAACTTACCACATGCAAGCGACCCCAGGAAGATTGTCAGTAGATTTGTCATTGGAAACCTTGGAGGCCCGAAGGCAGTGAATTGCTCTATTAAAAGTGCTGAGTGAAAAAAGGTGTCAACCACAAATTATGCATCTGTCTAAATTTTCCTCAAAAATGGGGTCGAAATTAAGACATTCCCAGGTAACTAAAAGGTGAGGGATTTTGCTACCTATGGGCCTTGCCTTGCGAGAAATACTAAAGGTTGAATGAAAAGACAGTAGCTAGTCACTCAAAACTTTAGGAGAAAATAAAGATCCCTGGTAAAAGTAAATACATCGGACAATTATAAAGGCTAACTTACTGTTACTTAGGAGTAGACACAGCCATGTCCCCAGTGCCTGTGGGTGGTGGTGGCAGTGGCCCTGCCAATCACTGTATCGCTCTCCGGGTCATGCTTCCATTTTCTTGAAAGATGAGACATATTTGTAGCCAGATATCTCTTGTCCAGTCCTATGGCCCAGAAATCTGAAAGCTCTCCTTTATTTCATCCTGTGACTGTCCCTTTACAGCCCAAACTGACCGTGTCTGGTGGGGTAATCCCATCACTATTTTTGTCTTCTGGTGATTAAGTCCATGGGTAATATCTTTATAGAATTGCTTGTTCAAACACACCCTTGATGGTGTCTTTGAAACATGCTTTCTCACTTTTTGCAACATGGATAGGCCTCGAATTTTCAAAATGTTTAGTTTCTGGTTCCTCTTTGGTTAAAAATCTCCAATTCATCCCTCTTCTCATATTTTACTGTGTCATTAAGAAGAATGCAGGCTGCACCTTCAACACTTGGCTTATACATCTCCTTCGCTAAATATCCAAGGCCGTCGTTCACAAATTGTCCCTTCCACCAAGCACAGGGACACAATTTAGCCAGGTTTTTTGCCACTTCCTGAAAGGATTGCCACCTTCTAGTTTCCAATATTACGTTCTAAAGTTACACCTGTGTCCGCTCCAGAATCAGTGCCAATGTCCATATTCCTGCCAACAGTTTTTTAAAGGCAGTCTAGGGTTTGTTTTTTTTTCTTACATGAGCCTTAAAATTCTTGCAGCCTTTACAATTCCAATTCTAAAGCCACTTGTGCATTTTTCTGTATTGTTACCGTCATAGTACCAAAACCTGTAGTAGTGAGGGTTTTCCCGAGAACCAGTAGGATGTGTATTATATATAGAAGGAGAATATTGTAAGAATTGACTCACACAAATATGAAGTCTATCAGGTACAAAACCAGCAGTGTGGGCTGGCAGGGTACAGACCCAGAAGAGCCAGTGGTGCATTGAAGTCTGAAGGCCATCAGCTGCAGAATTCTTTCTAGCTTGAGGAGTCTTTTTGTTCCATTCAGACCTTCAACTGATTGAATGTGGCCCACCCATGTGAGCGGTAATGTGCCTACTCAAAAGTCCACTCAAATACACCTGCCAGGTTGACACATAAAATTACCATTACAGGAAGTAATGATAGTGTTTAGGTGAGAGTAAAGGAAGGTAGCAGGAGTAGAGTGAGAAGAACAAAAACTCGATGTGAAAATGAGTATAAAAGTAGAGTAGAAAAAACTGTTGGCTGAGGGGGAATGTTTTGCAAGATTTTAAGTCTGTGTTTTTGGAAACATGATTTTACCACTAACAGTAAACCCAGAGTAGAAAACACTGCACTTACCGAGCGAGAATCATCATTTTAAGTGACTTTCAACCTTGGCAATGCATAGAGTCATCTGGGGGATTTTAGAACCCTCTCTGTCCAGGCTGCATTGCATACCAATTAAGTCAGAATTCTAGAAGTAGAACTATTTTTTAAAACTCTACAAGTGACTGCAATGTGCATCCAAACTGGGGAACCGTTGTTGAGGTAAGCAGAATCATGGCAAGCCTTTTGAAAAAATTCTTCCTGTCCATCATAGTTCTGGAGTACAAGAGACCAGGTGTCATTTGTTTCTTTTCCTAGCTGGCCTTGGGCGAACGGGTACTCTGATAGCCTGCTACATCATGAAGCATTACAGGATGACAGCAGCCGAGACCATTGCTTGGATCCGAATCTGTAGACCTGGCTCAGTGATTGGGCCTCAGCAACAATTTTTGGTGATGTAAGTAGATGGAGAACTTTCATAGTTCCTCAGATAATGAATGCTTGGGTCTGGAAGGTAATTGGAAGTAGAATTTTTCTTAGTCTCCACTAAGAACAGATATTCTAGTAGGAGAAAGCTGTTCATTTGTATCTTTCTGGCAAAAAGTTATTTTGATATTATTTAAATGCTGTCACAGGAAACAGCCAAGCCTCTGGTTGGAAGGTGACTATTTTCGTCAGAAGTTAAGGGGTCAGGAGAATGGAAAACACAAAACAGCCGTCTCAAAACTCCTCTTGGCTGTTGATGACATTTCAATCAATGGTGTCGAGAATCAAGACAAGCAAGAACCTGAACTGGTAATTGAACCACCTCCATCACTCTGTTGTTGTTACTTTAAATGCTGTTGAGAACACTTGAGGGCATGGAGGGAACTGTAGATAAAAGTAATAAAGCACATTTTGAGGGATTCTTGTCACATTTTTTATACTTTTAGCCCTCTCTTGGGACTTTTTACTCAATAGTTAGAACAAGGTTATGTGCCCTTTAAACTGAAGTTCTTTTTTATTCACTAGGCACTGGCGGAAGAGGTATGTGAAGTGAGCTCTTTAGATGGACCTAGTGACACCCCTCTTCCCAACACTTTTTCCCATTTCATAACAGCTGATTTAGGGAACCAGTTGTTCTCAAATGGAGAACTTTAGAGAACCAAGAGTTCAGGGGGTAGCTGTACTCTATTAAGTGGTGGTAAGTAGATGGTGAGATTTAAAAAAGACTATTTTCAATATTGAAAACCCATTATACCTCTTCACTATCTGTAAGTTTTATAACAAGAGTGCTATTGGGTTCCGAGTCTGTGAAAGGTAGTGTGTTTGGTTTTCTTAAAACGTGACCTGTAGCTTTATTTTGAACTCAAAATATTTTAGAGTTCAGCTGAAAGTTGAAGTATATATTTGCCTGTGTTCTGTGGATAAATGTAGATGCTATGCTTTACTGCATTAATAATGGCAACTTAAATCATTAGCTCAGTGTTCTTCTACTTGTACAGTACAGTGATGACGACGAAATCAATGGAGTGACACAAGGTGATAGACTCCGGGCCCTGAAAAGCAGAAGACAATCAAAAACAAACGCTATTCCCCTCACGTGAGTTTGGTTTCCTTTGTGTGGGTGATGTTATTTAGTATGTGTATAAGGTCCTTTGTGAGCATTTTGTCCTGCACATTTTTCTCCATAGTCGCATGTCCATTATGCCACTTAGAAATGGTTAGTAAGTCATTTTAAATTGAGGGGTGTTGCCTACGAAGCTCCTGGCTATCCTTCATCTCTGTTGTCCTATCCTAGGCACACTGGTCTGTATATAGGAAAGCAGTGTTAGGAGTGTATCTTCTCCAGGTGTGTTCTCTCTGTGACAATCTCACAAGCATGACACCAGATGTAAGCTGCAGAACAGTCGATATGTCCATAATTATTTAAAATTGTGAATTTCTCTAAATTTACTACTGTATTACAGGTAATTTCTTTAAACATGGCAGAATTTAATCAGTGGTGACATGGTGGCTTAATGTCATATTACTTGAGGGCAACGAAAGATTAAACTATGTATTTGTATGAATTTTTTGTTTGAGGAAGTTTCAGAAGGTTTAGCAAGGGGATAGGAAGTTTGTAGTCAGCAAAGGTATGTTTGTCCACTTGTACTTGCCTTGTGTAAGTGATAGTTTTGATTCAAGCTCATGAAACATCCAGTATGGTAAAAAAAAAAAAAAAGTAGAATAAAAAAACTTGGCCTTTGTACTGTTTTCCTAGAATATTCTTTAGTAGATGGCTCCCACCTTTGACACGGAATTTCTCCCTTCCACTAACCTCCTTTATCATTGTGGGGCACCAGATTTCCAGCCTCCTCCCCTTTTTTGTGATGGAGATAGGCCATTTATTCAGTAAGCATCTTGTAATATGGTAAGGGACTAATGATGTAATAGATGTTCATGACAGAGAAGAGCAAGCCTTCTTTTTGGTTAAAAGTGTTTTCTTTACTAGTATCTCTTCATAATCTTAAGTCCTAAAGTAGAACTGCCCACGAGGCATGTGTTATTGGTGGGCTGCTGTCTTGAGAAGTTCTTAAAAGATACAAAGAAAAGAATCAGGTTTTCCGACATAAAGTGCCATGTGAGTGAAAGACATCAGTATTGCTCATAGGCATAATTTAAGCATGATCTTTGCAGTGGTGCTTCCATCAACTAGGATGCTTTAAGACTGGTGCATTTTAATGTAATTTATTTAATTCCAAGTGCCATTTTGTTTTTAATTTCATTAAAAGTCTGTATTTAAAGTCTTAATGGTTATTTTTGTTTATAAACATTACAGTCTCTCCAGATTATTATTCTGAAGCCAATTTCAGACATGATGGAGAAGACAGGCAGTGCACAAAGCAGAGCTTCTCAAGTTTCAGTCCATGTTTGAGTCTCCTGGGGGAGCTCATTAAAGTGCAGACTGTGGTCAGTGGGTCTGGGCTACAGCCCCAGATGCTGTAGCAGATGCTGCTGGTCCAAGGACCACACTTAGTAAGCCCTAGAAAATGGATGCTTTTGTGGGTTACTTTTTCATTGGGCCCAGGTTTTTTGTTGTTTTTAAGAATCCTCACCATAAAGTTTATTCCTCAACAGTTCATTGCCTTCTGTTCAAAAGTCAAGTTGGGAATCAGGAGATGGCAATTCTACTTAGTCAAAAGTTTTTGTTAAGTAAGGCTTATAGGAAGCTTTCTTGTTCCTGACTGAGTCTGCTACCTTGTGAATATGTTTTTTGCAGTCCAAGTCACTTGATGCTATTTCCCAGAAGAGTTGAGGCTATAAACTACCCTCTCATACCTGATAGGTTTGTGGTTATATAAAAGAAAACAGCAAAGGAAGACTAAAATTCTAACTATTATTGGAAACCAGAAGGTGACATTAGGTGCTATTATATTCACCTTGGTGTTTGGTGTTCAAGGTCCCTGGAGTAAAAGTTGAATGTGTTCAATGACGGTTGAGTGAGTCGCTGACAAAGGCTGGGGGTCAAAATCAGCCCCGTTGTTACCATTTGTTCAGTCACACAGTGACACGCCTCCTTACCCCTAAAAGAAATAAAGGGCCCTGGCCCTTTGCTTTGAAGCACTCTTGGCGTAAATTAAAACCAAGTAAAATACTATAGTAAAAGTTTCTTTTTTAATGTTATTGAAAAGGAACTGTTTCAGGATTCCCTGTAATTATAGTCCTAAAAATAATAAAATAACCCCAAAACTGAACTCCTTCCATACACACACAGCTACCAAACTTGTAGGCCACACTTTGAAAGGAAAAGGCAGAATGCTGTTGTTTTTCAAAGCTTTTAATTGTGTGTACAGACCCTGAGGGTGTCTGGATTAATCTCAGCACATTTCCCTTCTTCCTTTACAGCATGTTGTTTATGCCTTCTGCTTTTTGAAATCCTCTTTGCTATTAAAATTATCTCTGTTTTGCTCTTACTTGTAACTCTTTGGGCTCTAGGAAAGGAGGTCAACTGGAGATATTCTTTCCCTCTGTGTCTTTGTTATTATTTTACAAATAAAAGTCCCCTGAGAGAGTTTTAAACAGTAGTTTAGATTGAGAAATCTAAATTCAATTCCTGCCTCCTGATTTTGACTCATCTGTTAGTGCAGGCAAGTTATTTTTCTGCTCTGTTGGTACTTAGGTCCAAGTGAAAATACTTGTAATAGGGAAAGCTAGTGAAAAATACTCCGTAAGTACTGGTGGTTCTTAAGAGAAAGTTATAGTACATAAAATATAATTCCAATTACTGGTTTCTATTTTATAGTCAATATATGGGGAAACTTAGTCATTGGAAATTGTACTGTACTAATTTTCTCAGAAAACCTGTCGGATCCTAACTCCCATGCAGACAGTAACTCATGTAGCACTGTGACCTCGAAGTGCTCATCAGGAGTGATCACAAGTGTATCATTCTCTCTGCATAAGCAGGTTTGTTAGATTTTATAACTTCATCTGTGCTGCTTTCTTTCTGCACACTGATCATTTCTGCTAGGTTTGTTATGGTTAAATGGAATGTTCTCTGAGGAGTGGAAGTATATCCTACACGGGAATATGTAAAAAAACAGATAAAATTGAAAAGTCTTAATATCCCCCCTAACAGTATGGTGTAGATGGGTGTGTTTTCATCATTTGAAAATAATTCGTATACCATGAGTTTTATTAGAGGGACAAATAAAACTATGATGTAGACGTTATAGATATTCAGACCATTCTGCCTTTAAGATAACTGTTAAATTAGTAACTACAAATGAAAATTGGGATGGGTAAAGAGTCTTTAGTGTTCCAAGGTCATTTATTGCATTCTGTATAAATATTCCTTTGTAACCCTAACATACAGTAGATTTTTTTTTTTTTTTTAATGGCAGGAGTAAATGAAAGTGTAGATTAGACTTCATTTCATGCCCATATAGGATCCCTGTGCCTAGCACATAGTGTTCAGTGGTTAAGATGACAAGGACAGTAATAAAGATGGTATATTAAGACAAATCATTCATTTCTGACTTGATCGGCCCAATACTTTGCACAAACACTCAGTAGAGCTTTCCACATTTGGTCGCAGATGTGTCTGGGTGGCCGTTTGGAAATGTAGTCGATGGCAGGAGTTGCCACACTTCCAGCTGGGAGGAGGGTTGCTTTCTTACTGCCAGAAGCTAGGCCAGTGGATTAGGAAACACAAAACTGAAAGCTGTATTTGGTTGCCTGAGAAAATCAACTAAGGAAATACATGTACAGTGCAGCAGGTCCTTGAATAACGTTATTTTGTTAATAACATTGAGAAGATGCTGTAGGAAATTAACTTTTGTTAATCTCATTGCCTAAGATAAAATTGGTTTTGTTATATGTTGTTTTGCATAAAGTTGCAGAACCATCAATGATAAGTGAGGACTTACTGTATTAATACATAAGGGAAATTTCCTTCATTTTTGTGTTGTCCAGGGTTGGCTATATTTCTGTAATCCTTGTTTCAGAATATGCAATTTGCCTAAACTCCTGGGTGATAACAGTTTATGGCTCCATTAAAGTAAGATCAATTCTGCTATGCTGTGTCCATTTATAATTGTACTTCCTAGGGAATGGTTGATAGTTACCGGTCCAGGGTCTTTTTTGTTTGTTTGGTCAGTTTTGCCTCCTTTTTCTCTGGTTTGGTTTAGTATTCTGTGTGTGCATATCTTGTGCTTTTTGAAGAATTTGTTTTTGTTGTAGAACAACAACTCTGATTTCTGTATTATACAATTAAATTCACACGGGAGCAGTTACCAAACTGGAGGTTGGGTCTGCTTTTTTGTTACCAAATATCACATCAGTTTAATACTGAAGATGACATGTTTTCCCTAACATAAAATGGCCAAACTCGATCCTTATTTCCCACCCATTTGCATCATCACAGGGTGTCTAAAATTTACACGTGGCTTTATTTATTTATTTATTATTTCGTTTATTTTGGCTTCTCGGTTTGAACATCTGTTCTTTCCCCTTCACCCCTTTCCAGATGTTCCCTAGCTGTGCTGACCTCTGCACTGTGTAGTGTTGTCATCTGGTGGATTATCTGTGACTACATTCTTCCCATCGTGCTATTCTGTCTCGATGGTTTAAGAACACAGTAGCCATCAGGACCCTTTGACCAATAGCTGCTGTGTAAGTGTTCCATTCCATTTCTCTACTAGTGCTCACCTCTGGTGCCCAGTGTGTGTCTCCTGATGCATGTTTTTCTCATTACCAGCTCTCCTAGCTTTATTGATTTGCCTTGTTTCAAAGGTTCTTTTTCTAAAGCTCCTAAATTAATGGGGTGGTCGTGGGGAGGGAGGCCTTCACTATTCTTTTCATACATGGGATATTAAAAACAACACACTTGGTTTTTAAGTTGTGCTTTACTCTTTACAGACTTTTTTAAAATTGCAATTTAAAAAGACACTGACCTAGCTTCTTTACCCTTATCAAAAATACTTAAGGTTCACTTGGAATAATTTGGGGTGCTTTTCTTTAAATCGGTTGTCTGTAGAACTTTTTTCTAGTTTTCTAGAGTAAGTATCTTTAGTATATCCTTTCCAATCTAGCAAACATAATTTTCCCACTGATTTTCTGCTGTTAGTAAAGGTTTGACTTTGCAGCCTGAAGGTCTAGTGGATTGGCATCCCATTTCCCCACTGGTTCTACCAGTGAACAAAGTCTGTTCTCGGCAGGCTGCTGCTTCCCTAATAAGTCTTCTGTCTTGAGAGTTTACAGAATTTTCTCCTCTACCTCATTTTACTTCCGCCACCCCTGTCCTGATAGTTAAGTATAATTTTCAAAACTTGACATTAGTCAAAACCAGGAAAGCAGAGAAAACTGGAGTCCTTCACTTGTGTTTGTGTTTCTGCCCGATGCTTGCTGCTCGGTACTCACTCCTACTTTCCTTCTTTCCCAAAAGTAACCCACATGCCTTTACTAGGTTAATATAGACAGAATTTGTATTCTTGATATCTTTCATCCTTAAATGAGTACCTTAATAGTGAAGAGACTTCTCTTCTGCAGAAGGGTGTGACAAGAGAGGAAGCGCGCAGGCAGGAGGTGCGCCCTGTGAGGCTGTGGTTGGCCACCACCCTCTTATGTCTTTTTTCATTCTTTTTTCTCTGAATTTTTTTCTTCAGCTCATATTTCAAGAATTTCTTTTCTTGTTCCAACTTGGCCTCAGGAGTTACAAAGAAATGCAGAAGTTCTTTCTAGGACCTCCTCCAAAATAAAATTCCATGACAACCAACTCCAGTCTTTGTGGTTTCATTCAAATGGCTAGAAAAGATTATGAAATCTTGCCGACTTCTTTTCAAAGTTAAGGAGGAGCTGCTTAACGTGTTTCTATTCATGATATTTTCTTAAATATCTTATTAAATACAAATTTGTAACATAGGTTGATAAGTTGTGTTTCTGATATAGATGTTACCCTTTTAGGTGTTTTTTCCTTTATTTCTCTTAGTAATCTTAGATTTCTAGATATTCTCATTCAAGGGCATTACATACTGTATAGATTGATCGCAAAGTGTTTGCAGTGGCAAAGCTGTCTAGAATAGGTGCGATTCTAACTGGGTAGAGACGTTGCTAATAAAACCTATGTGCTTTGTGATTGTATTACTTTCCCAAGGTAAATCTTAAATGAGGTCCATCAGGCTCTTTTCTTTTTACTATTCTATGTAAGGTTTAACCTTTTTCTCTTATTACTAATATTTGCCATTGGATTAGATCCAAAGCGGCGTATTCAACCTAGCCTGATTGATTACTTTGGAATTTTCAGAAACAAAAGCTTTCAACAGTAACAATGATATAAACAAGTATCATCCTTGTAGTTGTCTTTTGAGGTGATTACTCATGGGCACCATCATTGGCACTTACCTCTGTCGGCCTGAGAGGCTGTTAGGTAGCATGTCTGGAGATCTCGACGTAACAAGGACACGGGAGCTGCTGTGTCAAACCCTGAGTGGGAAAGGTGCATGTGGAGGTTGCAGGGCCTTGGGCCTGTTGCTGGGAAGCTCATTTTGTATCGGTGGCCAATGACCAGTGCACATAGTGTGTCATTGCACTGATGTATTCTTTTCTTGGAATTGGGAATATTTATGCTGAAAGCATTTTGTGTCTTGATAGGTGAGAGACCTGGCTTTTCAGTTTTTGCTTTGCCGTAGCCTCAAGTTGCTGACATGATTGTGTCCAAAATCTAGGAATACTGGGGCTCAGAACAAAATGAACTGCAGTGTGGGCAAAAGATAAAAAGGAGGATGTAGAATTCTGCCGGAAAGATGGAAGGTAGAAAATACATATGCTGAATCGTGCTCCACAGAGCCGTGCGATTGGCCTCGTTTGCAGGGTGGACGTAGTGCCGTCCCTTTTACCCCATGGCAGAGGTTGCCAGCGAATAACCTGATCAGGTGTTACTTGTAGGATATCACAGGTAATATCTAAGTGCTGGGTTTTTTCCCTACTTTATTGATGAATAACCTACAGATACAATAACTGCTCTGTTGTTATTACAAATAACTGGTGACCTGAGTCTTCATTAGTGTGACGATGTATTCCAGATGCCTGTCATGCTCGGAATTTCAAAGTTTCACATTAATTATTTACACTAAAGATATTTTAAAATACTTTAAAAAATAGTTTTCTGTCAGACTAAATTTTATTTCACAATAATACCTTGTCTTGCATAGTATTTAAACATTTCAGTATAGGTAATTTAAGAAATCAGGGCTTAAATTTCCAAAGTCAGCAATGTATTTATTGGCTCTTGTTTTTCCTCATATTAATGATTTTACAGTATGGTAGTTGTCTATACTTCTGGCCATATGGGGCCTCATTTGAAGAATAGGTATGGTATTTCAAAAAAGCCAACAGGAGTCTCATCCTCTCCATTTTGTAAAAATGGGGATAAAAGCCACAAGCCTTGCAAGCAAGGTGAGAGGTTTCGGGGCAAACAGTGGCAGGCCCGTGCACGGGGCCTGGGCTTCAGAAATGGCCGTGGAAGCATCCTGGGCTGGTTTTTGTTGTTGTGTTGTTTTTCTTTGTGAAAAACTCTAGATTCAGATTTTTAACAAAGAGCACTAAATATCTCTCCTCCCCCCCCCCCCATTTTATAGAATCAGAAAGAATTTTAAAATAAATCCTTGTTTTTGGGGGTAGAATTCATATGCCAGGGCAGTTGGTGTCTTTAATCGCACAGCTGTGTCTGCTTATCCTTTTTCTATTTTGCTGGAATAGTCAACATTTAGGATGACAAAACTTTATGAGAAGTCTTGAGTCGAGCATTGGCTCATTTACCCAACATATCTTTCCCTCAGCAAGATAGAAGTCCCGTTCCTTAAGGCCTTCGAGAATCCTACATGGATGAAGCAGGAAGAGCTGAGATAGCAGCCCCTTCCTCAGTCCTCCCCTCTCTTCCCCAAACAGCTGGAACACCTGCTGGCCTCCAGACTTCTGCTCTGGTACAAGAGACCCCATTGTTTTTTTAGCGATGGGAAATTAGCATTTTACTAAATAATGAATATTTAGGCTTTGGGTAATCCTAAGATTATACGAATTTACTAATCTAATTTATACTATTTTAAGGACCTGGCTTTGGTTATTAACTAACAGTGGCAATGCAGGCATAGGAGATAGGACTACTGGTTTGTTGTAATGGGTTATTAAGTCTGTTGTTACTGGCTACCTTACCTTACTTTCGGATATGAGAACAGGAAGCTTTTTCAAGTAGGTGTTTTCTCTTATAGAGAAATCAAAGTTGAATATTTAAATGTGTATGCATACATTTTAGTATTTCAGTCATTATCCCTTGATGTTTTCTGCTGTTCTCCCTGTGACAATTGAGCAAGGAATTTAAAAAGACCCTCTAGCCCTGACTGGTGTGGCTCAGTTGGTTGAGTGTGTTCCGCAGCAGAGCGAGGGGCTGGAGGTTCACTCCCAGCCGGGTACAGGCCTGGGCTGGGGTTGAGGTCCCATGTCGCGGGCATGCGGGGCATTCGGGAGGCAGCCTATGGATGTTTCTCTCTCTTTCTCCTTCTGTCTCTTAAAACAAAACGAAACAAAAAACACCCTCCACTTCACACATAGGCTTGATCTTGGGGAGTTCTTTCTCATTCGTTAATTTGCCTTGGGGTACTTTACTCCCATAGGCATCACTTCCTTGTTTTTAGAGTTTAATTGATTCAAGTCTCACAAAATTTAGCAGTTTTACTTTTTTGTTAATGGGTATTTGGTGACTAGTATGTAGTTGTAATCCAGACAAGATTCAAATTTGTTTGAACGTGTTCTTAAAATTTGGAATATTTTATAAAATTGGTATTGATTTAGACTCTATTGCCCTTACTCTCAGCTCTGAGGAGTGAATATTGTATAGATATTTATATTCACATTCTTTAGATTTTAGGTCGTTTAAATGAGTTCCTGCTTTCATGGAATCCTGAGAATCTATGTTCTTTGGGACACTGATTTATTTTACTGATTGATTTCTTCGGTGTGGGAATTGTTGAAAATGCCAGGTCATTCGTTTTCCAACAACAAAATACTCTAATTATCTTTGTGTAACCCTCAGAGGGAAATAAGATGCCTCATTTCAAAAGAGCTTGATGTAAAAATATGTTTCAGTTTGTTGGCAAATGTGTTTATGGAAAAGCCTATCAATTCTCCATGAAATAATTTGCACTGAAGTGGAAAAATGCCTTCCTGTCAAGTATTTGCAAATTGTTTCAGTGAATATAATCTTATTTTTTTTCCAACTGTTTTCAGAGTAATTCTTCAGTCCAGTGTTCAGAGCTGTAAAACATCTGAACCTAACATTTCTGGCAGTGCAGGCATTACTAAAAGAACCACCAGATCTGCTTCAAGAAAAAGCAGTTTTAAAAGGTGAGAAAAGAATCCTACTCTCCTGAAAAGTCCCAAGCCTTGGTTTTCCAGTTTAATCTTCTGGAGCTAGAAATGAAGACAGGAAAACAGAGTCCCTGTGATGGGAAATTAATCAAATGTTTTTGATTAGTTTGTCATCCAAGAAAATCTGGACCATTTTAATGCAGGCTTTTGTTTAGTTTTGTTTTTCAAAGATGATTCTCAATGCTGGCATGTGGTCTCTGAGTCATAATATGGGAAAGTTGAGAAGGTTGTATGAATAAGTTCTTAATTAAGAATTTCCACAGCTCTCTGTCAGGACTTGGAGGAAATCTTCTGTGTATCAGAGTCAGCATGATTGTTGGGGAATTGGCTGCAAATAAGTGTGATGGTTGAAATAACATGAAATTGAGTGAGTTGCGATCCTTATTTACCCAGGGACTGCCCTCCTGGCCACAGTCCACACCTAAGGGGGCTCATTCTTTCACTTTGAGGTCAGCATCTTTCACTTCCTTCACCAATAAGGGGAGAAATGGAATTCTTTGTGACCAAAACACTTACTGTTGTCTTTGGATGTTTGTCATGAACTGAAGGCAGACATTTTATTTTAATGTATTCTAAAAACAGGTCCCTCTTGAGGAAAGAGCAGGTAAGGCACATGTCGCCTCAGGAGTGAAAGGCCGGCACCTTTTCGTGTTTGTGTGTCTTGGCCTGGAGGCGGCAGCCTGTGTGGTCCGTCAGAGGCGCTGGACTCCTGGCACAGCGAGTCCCTTCTGGTAGACCACAGGCAGCGGAAGATGACCCAGACCAGGCTTCGATAAAACATCCTGCACAAATTTCTGTGCTGCTTTCGAATTTTTCTGCCCCCATGTCTTTGAGGTTTCGGCCCGAGGCGCCCACCTCCAGTGCTGAGTGAGTCTCCGCTGTGGTCTCCAGCAGTCTGTGTCCTGAGGGACTTTCAGGCAAACAAGGGGGCTCTGTGTGTTTTGTTTCATTAAAAAATTGTTCATCTCTGCTGTTTTTCCTCCTTGCTGATTCCTTTGTATAATTTTAATTATATGAAAATGTGATTGTGCTCCAGGACAAGTATTTGAGAGTCAGGCACTGACTCATGATTTTAGAAGTTAAAAATTTTCATTAGAAAGGTATCAGATATTCCTAATAATTCCACTTGAGAAGAACAGTAGAGAAATACCAAAAATCAAAGAGTTGGGTGCATTCTAATATAAAGGCAGAATGTTATATATAACAGTGAGAAAGAGGAAGTGGTCTAAAGATCAATGAATTATATACCTAATGAATCTAGGGTCATGTTTTTAAAGAAAAATTTAATGATCTGCATTAATGCTCCTGAAGCAATAAGTGAAAAGAGCTGTACATAATTGTTATGAAGTATTACTCTAATTTTGTATATGTAGAGTGTACTTTATATATGTGTATAGACATGTATAGATATATAAATACTCATAAACATAATTTCAATGCATATATTTCCATATATGTATTGAAATAAGATAAAGGAAAATATGCCGTAATATTAACAGTTCTTCTGGTTGGTAGGGCAGTTTGGAATTTTTTCTTTTCTTTTTTTACCATATTTTCCCCCCAACTTTACTATAATAAATGGAGTGAAATAAGAGTATTTTGACTTAGACAATTTTAGCTGAATTAAATTATTAAAAATTCAAATAAGAAGCCTACTGTTAGTGATAGTTAGGCATGTTTTGAATAGACATAATCTTTTTAGGTATAATTGCTCAGGCTTCCGTTACAGTATAGTGTGTCTGCACATTTAATCTGCTTTCTCCTTTTTTGAATTGTGCCCTTCAGGTATCAGAGGACTAGTCCAGGAGCCGCACAGGGTGTGCCCTGTCACATCTTGTTCCTCTGAGGGTTGTGGCCATGGGACAGTTTTTCCATCTAGGTCTTGTCTAGTGATCTGAACTTGTATTTCTCAGCAGAGGTGCTTCCTGTGCAGTGAGCATCTCGCTGAGTTCCCTGGACCGGATGCTCTGAGGGGTGTCTAGTCGAGTTAAGACTGAATATGCCTGATTAAATATTGAAATGGCCCAAAGCAGTTTCCAGGCATTGGGGAAAGTGCTGAAAAGCAAAAAGTCGTCTTTTAATTTTCTGTAAAGACTTTCAGAGATTGGGAAGGGTGAAGAAGTGAAGTAGTGAGAGTTACCTGGATCTCACTGTGTTTAACCAGCCCCCTTTGTACAGAGTCTCCTTTGCCTCCTTTGGAGTTTTGGCCTGTGTTCACGTCACCCAGTGAGCCACCTACCGCTCACAAAAGAAAAATACGTTATGTTCAGGTCCCACTCCCAGCTTCGAGGGAATAGTGAGAGTTGAGCAGATAAGCCGCAGCCTGAAGCTTTTATCCTACTGAATAGTATTCATTTTTGGTTGGAGAGCAATGAAGGAATTAACACATGTGTACATAATCTGATTGAAGACACAACAGGACGAGCTAAGATTATTCAGTAATTTTAAAGTATTGAATAGAATTCTTTTCTTTAGACAACAACACAAAAACAAATAGTACACCCTTTCAGTGCATGTTCATAAATAAGGTGCCGGGGTTGCCAGTCTGCTGCCACTCCCACTTGTGAAACCTTCTCTTTTGCAGGTTTATGTTGTTCACATGTCGTCATCATCATCTTCGTTGTGACATAGGACCTTGACTTTCCATTTCTATGCCTTGTTCTGTTCTTAGAGGTTTCCGGGATGAAGACCTCACCTAAGCTCACTCTCCACTTTTACGGCTCTCTTGACTTTTGACAGTTCACTGAGGGGCTCTACAACTTTGGAGAATTTGTCCACAAACACGTTAAAAGAGCAAATATTTGACACCTCAAAAAAATAGGACTATTGTCATAAGCATTTGTTTTTCTTACGGCAGATGGTTATTCCCCGATGCATCCATTGACCATAGGCCATGTCTCACCCTCAGTCTTCGTGAAAAGCTCTGCTCTGGCAGTGTCAGCAGCTCAGGGTGAGGAGTGCCTGGTGGTGGCTATTGGGCAGCTGACCCTCAGTGCCAGGCCGGTCTGTGTGTACTTCCTCATCCCTTTCTGAGCGGCAAGAAGTAAACTACTGTGTTCCTACACCTTCCACTTCTTATAGCTAGAAACCTTTTTTAATCTTTCTTTAAGAATAAATCCAGTAAATTGGCCTGTTTTTCAGTGTTCTCGCATTAACTCTCTGGAGAGTTTAGATTGAGTCTTGAAAATGTCACCATTGTGCCTCTGAGAACCCACCTCACTGACATCATTCAATTCCTGTTTGTACGCAGCTCGCCCACTGTGTGCGTGTTTCTGGCAGCTTATACTCTTTCATTGCAGCAATCTTTCCTTTCTTGCATTTTTTTTTTTGTTTTAATTATAACTTCATCCATTTGCTAAGAAAACTGTCATATACAAGAGTTTTTTTATTCCAGGTTGCATCACTGGGAACCATCACTTTCTGCTTCACCTGCCAAAACTGCCTAATGTTCATTGCTTTGGGGGCTTTTGTCCTAATTATTCATATTGTGAGGCCTCTTTACCAGCCCTATATTTAGGACTTTTTATTGGGGGGGGAGGGTGCTTTTTAATTCTTCTCATTTCTGGTTCTTGCCATCATCATACCTGTCACTGCTTGTCCATTAGTCAGCTCTCAGTGACTGCTCCATCACCTCTGGGCTTTAATTTTTGTTACTGCCATTATCTCCAAAAGTACATCCTTGTAAAAGCCCCAGAATGTTATATCTAAATCCTTTTTTTTAATGGTGGTTACCTCTGATCTTTTAAAATGTTAATCTCCCTTTGAAATTCCAGGTATTTTCCCACTTGCGAACTGACCTGGACTTATATTCAGTGCTCTGTTGAAGTCTCGAAAAGCTCCGTGATGGATGTAGATGGGCTGCTCTGATTATAGAGCGTTGTCGTTATCATCCCAGTGAGGGTCACCTCCAGATTAGAATTTGTTTTTCTGACTCTTTTCTGTTGCTTTAGTTTTTCTCTGAAGTTGCTATTCAGTTTAAAGTGTAATGTAATAAATTGTGGAAGGAAACTAGGGAGGTAGGGTGAGGGTCCATCAAGGACAATTATTGACAAATGCACAAGGGTCTTCTGGCGGCTTTGCCTGGCGCGTCTGGTGGCACCTCAGCCAGGAATCGGGGGGCGGTGCCCTCACAGCTGCGCGGTGAGCGTGGAAGAAGGCGGGGAGCAGGTGTGGGGCCCGGCGCGCTCCGCAGAACTGGAAACTGCTTGATGTGCCAGAGCTTTTTCTGTGACCGAATTCTGGCTTTGGCAATAATCGAGTAACACTTCTTTATCTTTTCATCTTTTCGCTTTTCCCGCAGCCTGGTTCCTCAGAGGGAAAGAAGGAAAAGGAGTGCTTTGCAGCAAATGCCCTTAATGGCATTATGGTACTCATTGCTCAGCTGCTTCTGCCCTGCCCCCCTCCTTTTATTTTTATTGTTTTTATTTTTTTTTAATTTTTATTTTTGCAGAACTGAACCTTTTTCTGCTCTGCCTCTCTCTCCTGTTTGTCTTTATGGTTGGTATTGTACTGTTTTTTCCAAAGTATTTGTCATTAAAGAATTATACAAAGAGTATATACTTTTTAGCATGTCGATATTTTTTATTATGTTGCCTTCCTTGTCTTTGATAACTACATATGGGACACTTGAAAACCTTCATGGTAAAATCCTTTTTTTTTTCCCCCCGTAGTCCCTCCATTTCAAGGACTAAAACAGTCTTGCGTTAAGTAAAAACCTGTGACCAGAACTGAAAGAAGACTCTAGGAACAGAAAACTACAACAGGACTTAGCACAATTTATTTTGGAAACAAAACAAAATTGCAAAAGCCTTAGCTGCTTTCCACCTAAGAAGTTTATTCAATGAAGAAAATGTCCACTGGAGTTTAAATAACTACGTGAGTCTGGGCACAAGGAATGACTTCAAGACAGCCCAACTCTCCTTTTGTAGAAATGTCTCAAGTTGAACAACAAAAAAGCTGTTGTAAATTTAGTCTCAGGTGTAAATATCAAAGCCCTCTGTTATCCAGAGGGCTGACTACTCTGTGTGGTGCATGTGTGTCCCTGTGATGGCAATCATTTTAGCTGCTGGCCTTCAGAGGAGTTACAGATCTGATGGAGGTTTTTTACCTATTTATTTCCTGTTCACCCTGTGTCAAAATTTATAAATATAAAACAGGCATTACCGAAATGGTACTCTCTGTAATTTGATACTATTTGGTGTAATCATCTTCACTTTAATATTTGTGATGTTGTTGTAATGTTAAGTGTGTTAAGTACCCAAGCTGCTTGTCTTCCACCAAAGAGTGCTTTATTACCAAGACTCTGTGAAAACCACATTTGAAGACTCTTGCATGTTGTGATACGAAGTGGTAGCAGGTACACCGGTAATGTAAAACTTGCCAGAGAAAATCAATAGTAGCTTTAGAAGAAGACTCAGGAGGAGAAACTGGCTTCAGAGTTGGAAGATTGTTGTGAGTCATCCCTTTTTATGTCATTTAGGGACTACTTGGTTGCCTAGTCATACCGATTCAAGTCATATTTCCTTCTGTGCATGGGAAAAACCCACACTTTTCGGTGTGTCTCCTTTGAAACAGTAATCCAAAATAACAGTGACTTAAAAAAATACAACTTACTGCTTTATTAGGGTCTTTCTCTGTAGCATTGTGGACTTTTTTGGTAATGTGATTAGCCCAAGGCCATTCACACACCCTTTGATTTCAGTGACAGTTATTCACATCCAGATTTCAGTTGTTTGTACATAAGACACTCACTGTTGCCTTTGGTTAGGGAATCAACTCTTTGTAGAGTGCCTTCTTCCCCTACAGAAACACAGCAGAGTCTGTGATGTAAAGCAATCACCAATACAGAGTTTATTTGCTGCTAGGAAAAATGGGGCCCAAAATAAAATAAGATTTTTAAGTAAAAGAAATGGTTTTAGTTATTGTTAAGCAATAACGGTCTATCCTAGTTTGGAGAAAGGGAGGCTACGTTATTGAAAGGCAAAATGCCTTCACGTTGTAAGATGAATGAATCAGATCAGTAGGCAATTTCATTTTTTAGAAGCTGCCTTTTAAATAGCTGTGTGAGAAATAAGAAGTGGTTGGCATGGACAGATTAAAGTCTGTTAGTACAAAAATAAGTGGAAGGCCCTGGCTCCATATTGGTGTTTATTCTCCGGGAGTAATTGTGAGGTTGACTTGCTTTGAGGGGAGATAGAAGCCGCCGTTGTTTTGGCCGCACAAGCAGTGCTTCCCCATAAGGCAGTGTGGGGGGTCGGGTCATGCCAGCTTTCACGCCTTGGGGACTGGATCTCAGAAAAACAGTGGTTTTTCTATCCCTGGAAATTCACAGATACAAAGACCAACTTTGCCTGATGGGAAGGCCACTTTTCAATAAGCTTTGGGTGAGAGCAGAAACATTCCATTTGCTGGATTGTTCTGGGAGAGAATGCTATGTATTCAAACTGCCCAGGCATAAACATTGTATTCTCAGGGCAAATCTTCTTCCCTTTATACATATATTTAAAGGCCATCTCCTGCATAAGTAATTCAGGTAGTTGTGAGAATCAAATTTCCAACTGAACTGTGCCTGATTTGGCTTTTTATTATGTCAGAACAAGTAAAATGTGCTATCCCCTCCCAGCGAATAAGCCCTTTGGTGTCTTGGCCAAGAGTGAAAAATTTGGACTTCAGTGTTAACCACAGTACTTTATATTTTACTAATTGCCTTTTTGTGTTGGCTGCTCACGTTTCCAGCAAGAAATGCTATCACTGTGGCTCTTTCTAAAAATCCTTGTGTTTAACAGGCTTGTTATTGAAATTAGTCATAGGAAACTAGTGATTTGTTAAGGAGTCATTTCTTGGAACACAGAAGGCCATAGCAGCAGTGTTCAAGTTTGGGGGACATACCTGGAATCTAGGAAGTCTCGGGGTCAAATGGATGGAAAGTTCTTGCTATGAATAGAGTGGACTCTTCCCTGTGCTCCTGCAATTGAACAATCAACACGTTCTCCTGAGATTCTAGTTTCAAGCCTTCCTTATAGGAAACCTTGTTGCAATGGAATAGGAAACAGGGCATGTCAGGTGGAGAGATTCCTTTACCTTAAGAACCTTAGATAGCTTTAAAAGTACACCATGACCATTTCCATTGGAATTAAAATGAGAAATATTTTTAGGTGCCCTTGCAGCTTTCTGAGGACTCAAATCATCAAAAGTCAAGGACAACCCAAAGGAAGGGTGTCTGCAAAATTGGGTACCAGGAAGTGTAGCTAGACTTCTATTTCGTGCTTCTTACAGAAAAACTAGGAATCTCTGTGACCTGTGGCGAAGAGGGCCGATCCTGAGCAGCGCCTCACTGAAACAAGTAGCCTTACTTGTCAGATGTAGCTGCTTTCTAGTGGCATGCTGCTCTTCCAGTCTACAGAATAGTTCTGTTCCAAATTTGATCCCCTTCCAATCACCCACCTTCTTTCTTCCCTGACCTCCTCTCCCTCTCAGGGGTGATTTCTACCTCTTCTCTTGGGTCCAGACGAGTTTTAGAGGAGTTCTCCAGTGTTCTCACAAGACGAAGGTGTTTCCTTTGGGAGCCTGATCCCTGGCGGGCAGGCTGTGCAGACCCTCAGGCCGTGTTGTGCCAAGAACTCTGGGAGCCTTTCCTTTGCTTGAATCTGTGTTCATGACACATGGGCAATGTGTTCCTTTGATGTTTGTTCTAAAAGTAGCTCTGCTGCTTCTCTTCATGCATTTTTAAAGTACTTACTGCATTTTGGAAAGCAGTGCTCGTCAAAAACAATTTTAGAAACCTATTTTGATTCTTTAATAGTCATCTCCCACTAAAACTGCCTTGTGAGGTTAGTTGCTGCTCTTCTATTTCTCTGAAATCTGAGTATTCTCCATGTTGTTACATGGAAATACTACAGGTGTTTTTAAAAGACTGGACAGTTCACCAATACTGTGTAGGAAATTACCTCCTCAACTGCCTATTAGAATGAAATGTCAGCAGATATGTCATCTGATTATAGTACTGCAGTTTTATATTAATAATTTGCATACTTTATCTAACCTGCACTCATGTACAGATTATTAAAAGTTTTAAAATGTAACTGATTAATCAGTATTTGGTCATTGTCTTGATTTTTTTAATTAAAATGTATATTTCTAATCATATTTTATAAAGCTGAGAGAACTGGTCGAATGAATGTTTATTTTCCTGAAGGTATTTTTAAGATAAAGCTTCTTAATGGCGTGTAAATTTTGCATATCTATGTAGTTTGATACATGTTGTATTTGAAAAATCGTGTGTATTGTAACTGGTTTTATACAAAATATTGAATAGTGGAAATTGTATAATTATAATCATGTAATTAAAAGTGTTAACCAAACAATCTTTAGGTTTGTTCGTATTCATTTAGTGACCATTCTGAATTGTGGGAGTGCTTACTGTGGTTGTGACCCTCAGTGTTTGTTTGCCCGGGCTGTGATAGCAAAACACCACCAACTGGGATGCTCAAATGACAGAAATTTATGTTTTCACAGCTCTAGAGGCTAGAAGTCTCAGGTCAAGTTGTCGGCAGTGTTGGTTTCTTTGATGCCCCCTCCTCGGCTTTTTCTCTGTGCACTCTGGTCCCTGGTTTTCCTCTGTTGGCCTCGTCTCCTTTTCTTATGACACCAGTTGCCCTGGGTGAGGGCGTATCCTAATGGTCTCATTTTAACATAGTCACCCTTTGAAAGCCTTGTCTCCGAGTTCAGTCATATTCTGAGGTATTGGGGGCACGGGCTTAAACTTGAGAATCTGGTGGTACAGTTCAGTCCATCCCCAGGATAAGACAGTGAACAGGCGATGGGACGCCTGTTACGAAGTCATTCTGCACATGCCCACCACCTGCTCCAACGATGCAAGGGTTTCACTTTTGGGAAACAAACCATCAGGCCCAGTGGTCAGAGACGGCAGTCCGTTCATTTTACCAGCCAAGGTCAGGATCAAAGTGCTGGGTGAAAGGCAGGACCAGTGCTTGAGCACCCCGCCTCCTGATGTCTGCGGTGCTCTTTGCCTGCCTTCCCTCTTGATGGTCTCTTGCAGGACAGGATCCTAAAAGCCTAATGCCCAGGTCATCATGCAGAGGTTGTGTCGGACATAGAAGCCTGTTCCTAAGGAATGCTGTCTAGCTCCCTGAGGAACTTGGCTTGGATTTATGCTGGCATAGGACTTTGCAGAGCACAAAGCAAAGGGAACTGCTGCCCTCACCCCTGTGCAAACTCCTACTGCCAGAAGGGGATTCGCAGGCTCTGCCCTCTTTTGAAAGCTACAGCATCCTGTTCCTCCCACCTTGGGTGACCATGGGGCCAGTGCAGGGTGTGCCCTTCTGGTGACTGACTGGAGCTGGTTTGGTGGGCGTGGGCCACGCAGCTCGAAGTACATGAGCTCTGTGAAGAGGCAGCAGGCTCGGTGGCAAGGCTCTGATGAAATCGCCACGTGTGCCTGTTTCTCCTGGGAGCAGCTGTGTCTTCCATGGCTGTGCAGTGTGTGTGTGACGGGCCTGAGACCCTGGCCCCGAAGGTACTTACTTTCCTTCTTGTTGACCACACTGTCCAGAGCCCGTCTGCCACACAGACAATGTGCTAAGCCCTCTTATCTGGGTAAAATGGGAATAAAAAGAATTCCTACCTTAACAGTAAGTATGAGAATTAGGTGCGATAACACATGCTATGTCCTCAAAACGGTGTTTGGCTCATAGCTCTCAAGGTAATTTCTTTAATACATTTAATTTTCTCTAGGTAATTGGGTAAAGACAGATCTTGGTAGCAGATTATGGTCCCTCCATATCTGATATTTTTGGTATCTGCAGTATAATTTCATGTGTTTTAGTAGAGGTCAAACTATTTTGACTTGTGAAAGAAGAAATTCATGCACTGAGGGTAAGTCTCCAGAGTGGTTTGTTCAAAGCCCGGGCAGGGGCAAACCCCAGGAGCTTCCTGATGGCGAGCTCATGAGGGAGGGGCACTCAGTCGTGTGTGTTCTGAAACAAGCCCTGGCAGCTGTTCTGTGACTCTAGGACCTTTATCTGCCTTCTTGCCCTCACTCTTCATCTGTAAAATTGGGCTAGTAAGTGCATCGTGTTTAGATTAAAAGGGGTCGAAGTATGTGTGCCTTACCTTGGGTCCCTGAGCCAGCGTGCAGCGTTTAATACCCAAAACTGCTTGCTTTTCTTCCTCCTGTGTGTGTTAAGTGCAGTTGTGGGTGTGTTGGAAGATAGCACAGGAGGAGGGAGGGGTTCACGCGCTTTTTGCCTGCCCTGTAATATGCCAGGGCAGCTGAAACTCTCCTCATCGTTGGCCATATAGGTGCTTTTCTAGCTTTTTTACTATTATGACATTGAGTGAACATTCTCATCTGTGAATTCCTGGGTGATGCTGGTTATTTCCTTAGGATAAGTTCTTCCAGAAGGTATTCCTAGGTCAAAAATATGCAAAATTTTAAAGTCTTGATGTCCACCACATCAAAAAGTAGCTTGGGAACATTGTTTAGAGCATGGGTTCTGGCCTGAGACTGTCTTGATACAAACTTCTGCCTCTTCATAACTGTGTTCTTAGAGCCAGGATGACAATATCTAATATGGTTGTATGAGGATTACGTGAATTAATATTTTGTTAATTACTTAGAGCAAGTGACTGGCACATTATTAAGAGCCATATGTATTGTTTAATTAAAAAATTATTACCATGATGCTCTCCAAAAGGACTTGGACAATGTGCAGTCTCCCGTACTTCCCCCCTCACCAGCAGCTGTCATTGCTGAATCTGTTCATTCATAGCAAGACCTTCCTTGGCCCAGTGCCACTCCCTGATCTATATAGTCCTCTTTTAGCTGCCCCATTGTGCAGCTTTGGGGTCTTTTGTCTTTCAAGTGGTTGGCCAAGTATGTCCCTGCTACAGTCTCACCGTTTAGCCCAGCCCCCTCGCCGGGGATGCTGGCCCAGCCCATGTGGGAGGAGGTTCTCCTCACCACCCTTCTGGCACATCTGGCCCCCTTGCCTTGTCTCTAACTGTCTCTCATCTCTTTGCTAGCAAGTCTGCGCGGCTTTGACATGCTTCTGGATGACAGGGGCACCATCCACACGGAAATGTCCAGGTAAGGAGGCCTCCCGCCCAGCAGGGCCAGACCCACGTGGGCTGGTGACCACCAGGGCACTGGCCTCGACCCCTCAGATTTTTATGATGGCCACGTATATCTGTAGGCAGGAAGAGGCTTTGTGGGAAAAGAAATAACGGAGGGAGTAGCACAGTTTGTGCTTTGTTTTACTTGGAGAAAGACAATGGTTTCTTCTCAGCGCGAATGTGCTTCTCTAAGGAAAACAAGATGACTTTTCAGGCAGGACAATTCTTCCTTGCGTAGGGCAATCTGGAGAATGCAGCCATTCGCCGTCCCCCGCCCCAACCCTGCCCCACACATTAATGCCAGTCATGTTTCCAGCCATTGGACAATCCAAATGCCCCCACACATTTCCAGCCACCTTCATGTGGGGAAGAGCTGATGAGCTTCCAGTACAGCCTCCTGGGCAATGTCATGAAAACAGCAACGGATGCTCATGGGACCCCACTGGAGGAACGTTGTTGTCCTGCCCTGGGCTCTGGCCTAAGCCCCAATGGGCAGAGGAGGGGTAGGAGGGAAGGTTTCACCGATGCAGGATGGCACTGGGGCTCAACCCTGCAACAGTACTCATGCCTTTAATGAAACTGGGGGTCCTCTGAGACTTCAGGTTGGTCTTGTGTTGGGAGCAAACTGCCATCCTGCCTGGCCCTGGCTTATTCCCTAGTAGGGGTGTCCAACCTTTTGGCATCTCTGGACCACACAGGAAGAAGAGTTGTCTTGGGCTACACATTAAATACACAAACACTAACGAAAACCAAAAAAAGTCTCAATGTTTTAAGTAAATTTACAGTTTTGTGTTGGGCCACATTCATAGCCGTCCTGGGCCACATGCAGCCCCGGGAGCTGCGGGTTGGACACCCCTGCAGTGCAGCAAGTGCAGAGAGGTCACCAGCCTCATTGTCTCCGGCCCTGAGATGGGTGATACAGAGCTGGGTGATACAGGGGAGAGCCATGGGTAGGGCAGGACAGGGCGGGGCGCGGGGCGGGCGACTGCTGGCCCTCCCGGACTGCTCTTACTCAGAGTCCTTCAACTGTGACCAACCTCAAATTTACCTTGCATTTAACCAAGGAGTTTAGATGGAACATGCCCTTGGGTTTTTTTTTTCCTTCAACTGGTATGTTAAACTAGTCCTTGCCATCCCCAGTAACTCCCTAAGACAGGTTCAGTGTAGCCAACACAACCCAGTGTACCTCCCCCCTTTTCCAGCGATGGTTGGCTCTCACGGGCTGTAAGCTTTCTAGACCGCCTTTTAATCTGGCTCGGGCTCCGCTGGGACTAGACCTCCAGGGAAGGTCTCTCCCGGACAGCACAGCGTTCACCAACGGATATTAAAGGTGCAATTTAAACCTGATTCCTTAGGTTGACTCTTTTACTTGGTATTGAGATTTCAGCCCAGGGCCAGTTTGGCTTTCCCGTGTGTGGCCTAGGGGGACGACTAGGTTGGGGAAGGGACCAGGCAGGGACCTTTCCGGTAGCAGTTCAATCCCAAGCCCCAGTAGGCAGTGTTTCTTGAATTTTCTTATTTTCGGCGCCCCAGTGACTGACTACCTGATGGAAGCTGAAGTCCCTCTATCTCCCCGCAAAAGTTTAAGCAAAATTGTTGAAGGGCTCATAAACAGGCCCTCTGGCCTCAGTGGCTGTGCGTCATCCAGCGCCTCAGGTGCCGGTCCTACAGATGCTGTCTGAAGGGCGCCCCCTGGAGGTGTGCAGTAAAGAAGCATATTTGCCAGTCATCCCAAGGCCCCTCCAGGCCTTCCAGGGACCCTGGTTGAAAATCCCTGAGCAGCCCTGGTCTGAGTTCCCTGGGTCGGGAGCCCCACCCCCGCCCCTGGCCTCTGCATTTTTCTGCTCCCTTCCTACCCACCTTACCCTCTTACCGAAAACCTCTCTCTCCAGTGTCCCTGCTCAGTCTTCTTTCTCTCCTTCACTGCCAGAGCATGCAAGTTCTGACCATTTTGCACTGCTGAACATTTTAGGTCTTACCTTAGATATTTAAAAAGTTTTCCTCCCTGTTGCTCTAATGCTGCCAGTAACTCCTGGGAGAGCAGGGCCACCAGCACTGTGTGCCCACATGGCTGATCATGGTCCATCGTGGTGCGACAGAGTATCCCTAGGGAGGTGTCCTCCCACCCCCTTGCATCTGGCTGGTGGCTGTTCCTCCAGAGAGTTTTCCCAACCTCAGTGTCTTGAGAATGCAGAATGCCATGAGGGACTTAAGTGTAAATTGATGTTGCTCCTTACTCACACGACAGGCACTTCCCAGCTTACATGATTTTGTGCTCCCAAGTAAACCCTCCGAAATCGGGCCTTTTTTTTTTTTTTTTTTTTTTTTTTTTTTTTGCAAAGAAACTGCTTAGAAGGCAGTTGGTTATCTGCTGCACTGGCTCAACCTGCTCTCCTTACACATGGGACCCACTTTGCCCATAGCAGAGCTGTCTGTGATGGTTTGAAAGCCACTGTGGTTTGGTTGGGGCGAGTCCTATTTATTGCCTTGAGACACGGGAAACTTTGTGGCCAAGAAGGGCCTTGGGGAGGTGTCAGGAGCTGTTAGGCCTTAAGGCTGCATGAGGCCCCAGGAGAGCCTTGCTTCTGTTCTTGTCTCCACCTTGCTGGTGACTTTGAACCTCATCTCCCAGTCTCTGTGACCTCTTAAGTCTTGCTGTCTCCACCTGTGAAGCCCTAACAAAGCTTTCTAAGAACACTGCTAACCCTACCGTGCTCTGGGGCAAACTCACTTTTGCTGTCACTGCACATGGTCAGTGTGGCAGGGTTGCCATGGCTCACACAGCAGCACACATCACATAACGATGGCTCCGTTGGTCCCTGCAGTACATGTGCCCTCTGGCCTTTCCCTGTCCCTCCTAGTAGGTTTGTCCAACGTACTGGTCATTTAACTGGAAATTTCAGGAGTGGGTAGAAAGACCACTGGGCAGGGGAATTTAATCTCCCTGCTTCATCTTCTCATCTCATCCCTGCCCAAGTATTAGCTCGGGAGCACGGAAGATGGATGTCCTCCCCTGTCCCCTGACTGTAAAGTGGTGAGACAATTACAGTATAGCACACAGCAGCCCCTTCAAGAGATGGTGGTTTTCTCAAGTTACCCAGGTGCTGCAATTAAGTGTGGAGAGGGATCATTCCACCTTAAAAGGCATCCAGATCGAGGGCAAGGGGGGCCCGGGCAGTGGCTCCTGTCAGTGGGGAGAGCAGCCCCTTTCAGAGGGTGAGTAGGCTTCTGGAGAAATTGATTTCTCAACTTAGTTGGTGATTTCAGAGTTTTGCATTTTGATCTGTATTGTATTTTACAATAAAGTGTTTTAAGTACCTGCTTCTTTCCTTCCTCATTCTTTTTACCACATAATCACAGGCCCCTCTGGGAAAGAGAGTAAGGCAAAGCCTCACACACGACACATGGACAGTGGTGCCCGCTGCCCACGGGCCCGCCTTCCACCCCGTCTGGAGAGGAGGGCCAGGCCCAGGTGGCTCGTCATACAGTATGATCTGACGGGACAGCAGCAGCAGCAAAAGAACGGGCCCTGGCCTGTATGGCTTGGTTGGTTGGAATGTCATCTCATTAACCAAGAGGTTGTGCGTTCACTTCCCAAAAAGGGCACATGCCTAAGTTCCAACCTGGTAATGCTGTGTTGGAAGGGAGGGCGGAACGGCCCACAGCCAGCAGTGTGGCACTCCATGGAATAGCTTGGAAGAGGGCAGTTCCTGACCTTACTCTGAGGGCTGACCTTTCCCATCTTGGAGTCCAGCTGCTCCACAGGATTTGCCACCACATGGTGTGATTTCAAAGGAAAACACTGTTTTCGCCCCGGAAATACCAATGCACTGGGATGGCATGGAAGAGCTAGTGAACTGAGGACCTGAACCAGTGGCCAAAACTAGGGAAGGGGCGCCTATTACGGCTACTCCTCGCACAGGATGAAAACGTTAAGTGCTTATCACTATTAGACCTGGTTTTAGCCTTCCTGATGCTGAGGCCGTCCCAGCTGGCAGCAGCTTCTGGAGCAAGCCCGCTTCTTCCCAGGCCTCATCACATGCAGGGGTGACAGTTGTTATGGGTCTTCAACTGCTGCCCTGGCAGCCTGAGGTCCAACAGTGAGCTCCTGGCTGAGAAGGGGCCCGGGTCCCACCGGGGCGGGCACACCTGCCGTGGAATTTAAACATGCTTGACCTCTGCTTTCCGAGGAGTCTGTCATGCCCCAAGTTTTCTTTCATGAGGTTAACTTGCCTGGTGTAACATTACCAACTAGAAACATGCCCTGCCCCATGACAGCACATCTGCACACAAGCCCCTCAGAGGAGTCTGGCAGAACTTTGGAAAGCCTTGCCTTGTGTTTACACCTAAAATACATTACCCTCCTGATGCCCCTTCTGATCTTTCCTGCAGCACGTTAGGGATTTCCCCTGCCCTTTGCTCCCATGTCTTTATGGGCCCATGGGGCTGCCAGCAGCCTGGTGACAGAAACCCTACACCCTCTGCCTCACCACATCGGCAAAGAGGTAGCGCTGGTGCCCAGACAAGGCCTTTGCAGGCTCAGGATATTCCGGTTCCCGAGGCTGCTCCGGGTATAGGAATGTTCCGTGTCCTGGGGAAGACCGCAGTGTTTGCGAACATATTAAACCTAGTGTTACGGGCTTTGCAAGTGTTACCACAAGACTAGGGGTAATGTCCTTGAAAGGGGTCTCTGTTTTACTAATCTACAACGCCAAGGACAAATGACTTAACAGGAGAGCTTCATGTCTGCTGAGTAGTGACACAGCCTCATGTTGCACCAGTGGGTATTTATGGCTGAACCTGACAGTCCCCCTCACAAGTCTTCTTAACTTAGATCAGGGCAACCCATTCATTGTGTCTTTTCTAGGGAGAGGGAATAAAAGGGTAAGTTAATATACCTTAGCACTTGGTTTTAATGAGGAGAGACCAAAAGTGGGCTGTCCCCCACAGTGAAGATTCTCAACTGCCTGTCACATGGCTAGGGGTTCACCTTCAATTTCTCAACAAAATATGACTTTTAGTGGAGCTTTTTCTCACATTCTTTTTTAACTCTGGTGTGACCAAAACAATTCAGTTTTCTATACACAAGTTCAGAGGGAATACCAACCTTTATTTACACTTCAGTTCAACTTAGAGCCATCTTTGACGGTATAGCAGAGGAGGCAAAAGCCCTGATTCTGGAACCAAGGCTCAAATTCTAATACAAGCATATTAACTGCAAAAACAGGCAAATGTTACCCATGGTTCTCCAGAGAGCATCACCCCAGCTTCCAGCGGCCATTACAGCCGCCTCCGCCCCAGCCCCAATGCAGGGCACTAAACCTCACAGGGACTTGGGGAGTTGCTGGATCTCTGAGGTTGCCCCTAGCCCCAAACATTCACCAAAGGAAAGAAACAGGAACCTGAACTGGTGCATGGACTGACTGAGAAAAACTATGTAGGTGTTCAATAAACCCAACAGCCATTTACAAGTCTTGCCCGGGACAAGGATGGAGCGCTTCTGTACAGAGGTGCTGAATTCTGACCCCAATTTCAAAGGAGAAAAGAGTATGGAATTAAGTTGCAATGCTCTTTCACCTGGAACGCTTTTCATTTGGTGGGTTAAATAACATGATTTTTTAAATCATATACTTAATACTCGTCTAAAATCCACCCAAAACACTAAATATGCACACTTATATCAGACATGTGTTGTGTGTGTACACACACACAGAAACCACGAGGTAGTTTAAATCACTATTAAAAAAGATCAGAACTTTCCCTAATTCTCTGTCAGAGTGGTGACTGGTGGCTGCACGATAGCTGTTTAGAATTGTTGGTTAAATGAAAACCAGAACTCAGAAAACCCTGGGAGAGTGTAACATTTACAAGTAAATGGTAAATACAATTGTATTTTAACTTCTTGGTCTCTGCAAACTAGGCTGTGACTGCTTTAAATTAATGATTCAAGTTATATGTATTTCCTCTATTACTAAAGGACACAGCCTTCCAATATCTATACAACTTACTGAGTAGACTCAATAGATTCTATTTTACAATCTCTATGTACACAGTTTAAACATCATTTTTAAACTTCATTTGGAAGTCCTTAAATGAAAAAATAATCCCCATTCTCCACCTTCTTGGGAATGTGCCAGAATAACCCCTGACTGAAGCTGCAGCACTGAGTATCTGAAAAAATCCCTATCTCCCCCAGTCCCAGGCCGAAAAGTGCAAGGAATTCACACTAAAGGGGGAAAAGCAACATCTATTGTCTTAGAGTCTGACTATCTTCCCGGGAGCAAGAAAAGTCTCTTCGCAGGTGTGCCAGTGCGGTTCTGAGTTGCCAGGGAAACAGAGCTCTCAAGCCAGAGCAGGAAAGTCTTCAGGGTCATCAGGATTTGGAGCAACTTCTTGCGTCTAAAAAATAAAAGTTTTGAAACCAACTGTCATTTCATCCATTCCTACTTAGGCAGAGCACTGTGTGAAACCCGGTGCCTGCTGTCACCTAGGGGAGGGGCAGGGCCCAAGGCTGCCTCTCCCATCTCACTCCTGTCCCCTCTACAAAGTGCCTGGCAAGTGCCTTCCCCTCCCCTTCCCCCTTTTTGTATCTGGCACTTCCTTCATCCAATAAACAAGACAGAATGTTTACTATGTGAAGCTATAAAGATGGTTCCAGACGATTCCTGCCCTGGAGGAGCTCACGAGGTGAAGGGAGAAACAAGTTGGAAAAGTCAGCGGTACCTACAGAAACAGATGCCCTGCGAAGAGGATCCCCCCACACTAGGGGTGTCCAAAGCAATCTGGTGGCCATACACGCTGCAATCAGGGAAGGTTTTTCTGGAAGAGTAGTTTCTCCCAGAGGTAAGCCTCACTGAGCAAGAGAACATGGACTCTGAAACAGGGCAACTTGACCATGAAGGGGGTGGGCGCCGGATGGCAGTTCTGAGCTGGAAGAGCACAGGAGGGCAGCAGGGGAGGGGCGGGGGAGGGGCGGGGGAGGGGCAGGCACATCACCACGCTCCACGCTAACGCTGCCGGTGGCTCTAGCTCTGCTACTGCAAAGGAGTGTATTTTCTACTCTCAGAATAGAACCCTTTTTCCATCTTGCTTAAGTATAACAAACTGTAGGTGCTCCTCCCTGGGGCTGCTCCTGGGAGCCAGGGAATTGGGCAGCAAAAGGGATGCTTCCCAGAATAGCCACAGAAAACAGGCTGCTCCTGCTCATTGTCATAAGGACTCCTCCACAGGGCCCACAGTGGCCACAGGTCTTGTGCCTGACTCCCACTGAATGGGTATTTATATGTTTGTTCACAGAATGTTTACGAAGCAGCTACTATGTGTGCACTTTCCCTAGGCCCAGGGAAACCGATGAACACAGAAACCGATGAACACGGAAACCGATAAAAGCAGTGGTTACTGTTGTCCACTGACATAATCAATAATCACACCAGTGAGAACACAATTACAAATGGAGATTATACTTCAAAGAGAAGAAATAAAATTCCTTGCTCAAGGACCCTGAGCTGGTCTGCAAGGAAATGCAATCAAAGAAGCCGCCTCTGAGTAGGTGAGGTTAGAGGAGCTGTTCAGGTAGGCAGACAAGGGTCCCATGGGGTAAGGAGCAACTTGGCTGCAGAAGTAGAGGTAGAGCAGACTTGGCTGAGGAGTGTGGAAAATGGTCTGAGCCATAGAGCACTGTCTGCGTCACAGGGCACAAGGCATACCATCGGCCATCATGAGTAAGCAACTGTCAGGTGACCTGTTTCAACGAGGCCCGAGGATCCTGTTTCAGGCAGATGAGTGAGTTTTTCTCTGGTTCTGAGTGCACGTTCAGGGCAGAGGGGGGCCTCCCTGGAGACTCTGGAGGCCAGGGCTGCAGAAGTTCTGTACCCAACCGAGGCCCACGATGCTGACATCACTGTTCCGAACAGCACCTCAGACCCTCACTAGATGAGGAAGAATCCCTAACAGAAATGGATGGCCCTCCGAAATTTGACTGGGCTGGCCCAGGACCTCCTTATCCTCTCAGGTTCTTCAGAAAACCATCCAGGACGTAGACTACAAATACCTACCGCCGCTTCTGCTCTGGGTCCGTAGTTCTCTGCCCTCCTGATCCTTCCCCGGCCTCCCCGCGTGCCGCCTCTGGTTCCACGCCCGGGACGAGGGAGGTTACCAAAATTAATCTCCAGCTGGGATGTGATATCATTGGCCGCTTTCCGGAAAACGTGGGTATCATCCTCACAGTCATTCTTCGCCATCTGAAACACAGTTACAGCATCAAACCCAGACACACAGCTATCTCCATGGACACGCACTGGGCTCAGGGTCCTAGCGATGGGCTACAAGGGAGCTAGGATGGCCTCATGGCCGGAAGTAGCCCTCCCTGATGTGCCACCCGCACTGGGCTGCAGGGCGGGGGTCACATTTCACAGCCACACGTTCTTGTATTCACAGTCTTAACCGAAACAACTTTGAACTTACTGTTACTTCAAGTGAGACCAAATGTCTACCAGTTTAGCAGGTTAAGATATAAGATCTGACGTGACTAACAGCAATTAAGGTGAATATTTTATATCCAAGTGTTATTTTGATAAGATTAAAAAGTTTTAATTTCTGCCTTTTGTTTTATTTGTTCACAGATGCACAAAGTAGCTCTTTGATAAATAAGGAAATATTCCTCTTCCTTGAAGAGAACCTGATGGAGAAACTCTTTCCAATGTGGGCACTGACTGTACAAATACCATATGTTAAAAACTGCATGATTTGCAATTAACAATTCTTACTCAAACACTGTGAAAATAGTAAAACAACACAGTATGGGTATCTGAGGATTACTCCCAATTCTGTTAAGAATGCCAACTGCTCTTTAAGAACTGCTTTATAAAATACTTTGAGACAGCAGATTTTATTGTAAGAGGTGAGATAAGTTCTGTCTCAAAAGAAAACTATAAAATGTAAACCTAGAGAAAATAGGCCAATGGTCTTGGATGAGAATCCCCAAAGTGCTATACAGTTAAATGTTCCTACAAGTTGTCAAGGAAATAAAATCAAATTTCCCTGCCCTGGCCAGGCAGCTCAGTTGGTGAAAGCGTTGTCCCAATTTGCCAAGGTTGTGGGTTTGATCCCCAGTCAGTGCATACACAAGAAGCAACCAATGAATGCATACATAAATAAGTGGAAGAACAATTGATGTTTCTCTTTCCCTTCCTCTCTCTAAAATCAATAAATCAATAAAAACATTTTTTAAAAAATCACATTTCCCTGAGCACATCAACCCCTTTTGGCTATATGCTCATTACAGGTTTCAAGTTTGACATTTATATCCCTTCAACATCCCATATTAAAATAAAGCAGAGGCCTTACATAGATGGACTCTTGAAGTGAAAAAAGGTGAAGGAAAGGAAGATTCCTGAGAACTGGCAAAAAGATACACACAAAAAAACAGAAAGATACACACAAAAACCAGTAAGATACTCTGTATCAAAACGTACTCCGATAAAAAGATACATACAAAAAACCAGTAAGAAGCAAAATAATAAACCACTGCCTTCTGGTTTCAAAAACAACAGGAGCCAGGGGTGCCTCTGCAGTAAGAAGGGACAATGTGCAATGGATGCTGAGCCCGGTAACAGAGGCCGAAGTGCTTGAAAGGGCCCACCTCTATTTGCAGGCTGTTAGGTCTAAGCTTTGCAAACAAGAGACTTGGAAGCACGTGAGAGGTGTTATTCAAGTGTTTTTATCTCTTAGCATCCCCAAAACAAACTAGTGAGATTTTTGGCTTATGTTGCTTTAAGAACAATTCCCAGCTAAAATCTCTAGTGCTGTAATATTAACAAGGACCAAAGATGTCTGTGTGCTTTACTGAGACCAAGTTCAATGACTCAGCTAACCCAGTTGCTTCAAATATTCCTGGAGCCCTCTCTCTGGAGCCAGGGAGGATGAATCTGGTGTGGATTAAGGAAGAACAGCTTCTATTTTTACCTAACATGTCAGCTGCACATTTGTTTTAGGCAAGGCTTTATTTACAATCCCCCAGAACAAAAAAGAACAAAGAAAGTGAAGAGGAAGAGAACCAACCCAGCTAATTGATGTCCTTGTAAAATAAAAAAATCCTCTGAGATTTCCATGTGTCACTGGCAGTCAGACAGCTCAAAAGTTGCTTGTAAGGTCTCTGAGAGTTTACACTGACCCAAACGGGAGGGTGGGAGGGGGCCCTGTGTCATAAATGATCCTTTAATGAAAGCACTTGTACAAAGGCACAACTAACCTATGTGTAAATGGGAACACAGACAAATCTACCTGGTACAGCATTCCTGGGTTTCAAAGAGAAAATAAATGCATAGCATCCAGCAGGAGGAGGCTGCTCATCACCATCATTGACAGAGACTGGTACCAAGATAAACAGCTGTGGTTGAATGGTAAAATTATAAATTTTCAAATTAAAGTAATTAAGTTCAGTAACTTACACAGAATGCAATCAAATGACTTGCTGATCATCCTTATCAATATATGCTGACAGACATTTTCAAAGCTGAAGTCTCAGCTAAAGAGCTGAACATAAACCATGAACAGTAAGGCGCTCACAGGAAAGAGGCACTGGGAGCAATCCCAACTGGAGGCTGCAGGGCTTGTCCAAGCACCTCATCTGCGTGTCATCTGTTGTGCAAAGGGAGCAAAGCTGCTGCAGTAACACAAGGAAGGGCCTCACAGGGCAGAGCACCCCGACCAGTTTAAAATGATCAACCCCTCCCAGTGAAATGCTCTAAGAATTGGATGTGAGGGTAGTCTAATCATGGAATGCAGAACAGTCATCCTTTGAAATGGCATCATTCATGAGACACTCCATGTACCTCTTTTAAGATGAAAATGAAATGCAATTAACATACAGTATTTGCACAGTCTCAGCACAGTTTTGATGTGAGAATAAAATTCACTACTACTGCTTTGTTTTAAGTGTCAACAAGTCAACATTCAATTATTTCACAATAAAGATTCAGTAAAATTACGCACATGTCATTTCGATTACTCTTGGGTAGCAACTAGAATGCCAACTACTAATGATACATTTTCAAAACAGAAGTGGAAAGCCCCATTTCTTTTCCAATAAGGTAACAGTGGAGATTACCTCCAGATACAAAACGTCATGCTTACATCATCTCTATATTTAGACTTGTGTATCACCACTGCTTTGGAAGGGACAGAGGATTCAGGTTTCCGGATGTTAAATTCAGGCTTCGGTCTGGTCTGTTCTTGAAGAGTTTTCCACTCATCTAGGGTCATCTCTTGAACTTGAGTTTCTTCTTCTACCTCCAATTCAGGAACTCTAGAAAGTATATAATGATAAAGAATAATTTTTGATGGATCTGAAATGTCTACTTTATCAAAGAAAAAGTCATAACCATTAGTTGAACATTACAGAACTGCACCTCAAATCTAAGGTAAGAAAATCTTTGAGCCATAGGTTTCCTTATTTTATTTACATGATTTTATGCCATCATTGTCAACCGAAGATACTTCCTGTCTGTGTTCAAAGCAGTCTTTGAAAAACAGAAACATTACCATCCCAATGACATTTACATTGTACTTGACCACCAGGCACTCCCTTTCCAGGTGGCAATACACATAAAATGAGATAATTGTAGAAGAAAATGGGAGAAGCTATTGAGATAAAACAAGTAAAGGAAACCATGAACAGATTATAAAACAATGAGCCACAAATGCCTACTTTCATAAATATCCAGTTTGAATTAATAAATTTTAAAAAGAAAACAGAAGATAAACATGTAAGTTAATGAAGTCCAGAAATAAACCCTCACATTTATGATTGACTTATTTTTTTGGACCAGGATGCCAAAGACAAAAGGAGAAGAGTCTCTTCAACAAATGGTGCTGGGAAAAGGAGATATCCACATGCAAAAGAATGAAGTTGGACCTTTACTTCACACCATAAATATAAGATCTAGAAGAATAAAACTCTAGAAAACATAGGCATAAACCTTCACAATTTTGGATTAGGCAATGGTTTCTTCTATATGACACCAAAAGCACAAGCAACAAAAGAAAATGCAAACAAACTGGACATCACCAAAAATGAAAACCTTTGTGCTGCAAAGGATACCATCAGGAAAGTAAAAGGACAACCCAAAGAATGGTAGAAAATATCTGATAATCATATAACTGATAATAGACTTACATCTACAAATACATAAAGGACTCTTACAACTCAATAAAGAGAAATGACCCAGCTAAAAAATAACCAAGGTTCTTAATAGGCATGTTTCCACAACTAGGTCTATAAATAGCCAATAAGATGTTCCAACTCATTAGCCATTGGAGAAATGCAAATCAAAGCCATAACAACTTACACTACTCCACATTGACTGGGATATTCAGACCCAAAAGGACATTTAAAAAACTGTTGGTGAGGATATGGAAAATCGGAACCTCATGCATTGCTGGTGGGAATATGAGATGGTATGGCCATTTTCGAAAACAGTCTGACAGTTCCTCAAAAATGTAGACCTAGAACTGCCATCTGATCTAGCGATGCCACTCCTAGGTATATACCCAAGAGAAATAAAAATATATGTCCATGGGAAAACTTAAACTAGAATCGCATAAAGTTCAATAATGCTATTTTTATCAAGTGTATTTATAATAGCCAAAAAATAGAAGCAGTCTAAATATCCATCAGCTGATGAATGAACAAAGTACAGTATATCTATATTATAAAAATTATTTGGCTGTAAGAACAACTGAAGAAGTGATACATGTTACAACAAGAATAAATCTTGAAAACATTGTTATGTAAAATAAGTCAGTTATAAAAAGTTTACATATTATTCCACTTATATGAAATATCCAGAAAAGGCAAATTCCTAGAGATTGCAAGCAGATCACCGGTAGCCAGGGACTGGGGGGAGGGTGGAGAGGAACTGGCTGCTTTCGGGTACGGGGTAATGGAAATGTTTTAGAACTAGATGATGATGGTGGCGGCATAACACTGCAAAATGTACTGTACGTCACTTAACTGTACACTTAAAATGATCAAAATTATTAACTTTATGTTATATGTATTTTACCACCAAAAGACGTAATATGCAAAAAAGATATGAAATACTAATATATCCTACGATATGGATAAAACTGGCAACATTATGCTGAATGAAGTCAGACACAAAAGGAAAAATATTATACATCCCACTTCTATGTGGTACCTAAAATGGGCAAATTCACAGAGACAAAGTAGAAGGGGCATGGTCAGGGGCTGAGGGCGCGCGGGAATGTGAGTTATTATCTCATGGGTACAGATTTCGGTTTGCAACAATGAAAAGGTTTTGAAGGTGGACAGTGGAGACGGTTACACACAATGTGAATATAATTAATACCACTAAACTGTCTACTTGAAAATGGTTAAAATAGCAATTTTTATGTTATACATACTTTACCACAATTTTAAAAAATTGATACCAAAACCCCCTGAGTTGTACAGTTTAAACTGATGAAGTATATAGTATAGGAATTATATGTCAATAAGGTTTAAAGGAGAACAATCATTAAGAGGGGAAGCAGAAATCTATTGTACCGTCAGTGAAGAGCAAATGTAATTTAAGGTTCTAGATTACAGGTTAATGATATGAAAAACATAAGCAAAATCAGGAGAGAAACCTAATCACTGAGGAAACAAAATAGACACATTTGTAAAGTGACTGTAAATACCAAGCTGATGGTAGAAAAAACATCCAAGTAGTGGATGCCTCTGAAGAAGCATGAAGGAACTTTCTGGGATGATGTGTTACATTCTATATCTGGATAAGAGTTTGGGTCCCAAAAGTATATGCATTTATCAAAACAATGAATGTACACTTATTTTTTACATTTCATGATAAATAAGTTTTGTATCAGTTTAGCTGATGGGTAAGGTGTTTATTATAAAATACTTTATAAACTTTGCTGTGTTTAAAATTATGAATAATAAGTGTTGGAAAATATTAAAAGTAAAATATATCCCAAAATAATATTGGCAAAAATATGAAAAGACATTAAAACTTGTAGTAGTAAAGTACTGGAAAGAATCCAAACTCATCCTGAGGGAAATTTGGTAGAAAAAAAATATAGATATTAAACAGCAGAATACTAAGTAATTTAAAATGTAATGAGAAATCTCTCTCTATATATTGCTATGATGCACCCCCTGGATGTATAGATGAAAAGGCAAGGTGGAATGTAATGTATGTTAGTATTCACCTGGAGAAATACAAATATATATACATACAGTTTTTTAAAATTATAATATAAACCAGGGAAACACCAGGGATAGAAGCTATATCAGATTGTACTTTTGAAAACATGTAAATATTTTATATACTTATAAAACAGACTTAAATTAAAACTTGATCTCTGAAATTAAAAAAAAAGAATTAAGCACTGACAGGTATGGCTCAGATGGTTGTGTACTGTCCTGCAGAGTGAAGGTCACAGGTTTAAAAAAAAAGAAAAAATTTCCTGAAATTGTTTATGAAGTTGGTAATATAACCAACAAAAGAACCTTTTTAAAAAAGATTTCACTGATTTATTTTTAGAGAGAAGGCAGTGGAGGGAGAAAGAGAGGAGAGAACCATTTATGTGCCAGAAAAAACATCTATTGGCCGACATGTACCCCAACCTGGGACAGGGCCAACCCAGGCGTGTTCTGAACGGGAACCCAACCAGTGACCCTCCACTCTACGGGATGACGCCCAACCAACTGAACCACGCCAGTCAGGGCAGAAGAAACTCTTGAAAGTGGCTTTAAAACAGGAATTTACTCATTTCTTTCTACATAACTGCTAAGCAATCATATTATTGGAGGTAGTACTGGTAATACTACTTGTGACGCTGTTTGTGTTACAAATAAGTATAATGTTACTGACAACTGGGGTTTTCAGCATGAAAGAAAAGAAACAAACATAAAATATTTTAGCCATGACCTGTGTGGCTCGGTTGGGTGTTGTCCCGCAAAACAAAAGGCTGCAGGTTCGACTCCCAGTCAGGGTACGTGCCTGGGTTATGGGTTCAGTCCCTGGCTGGGGCACGTGCAAGAGGGAACCAGTCGATGTTAATCTCTCACATTGCTGTTTCTCTCCTCTCCTCTCCCACTCCCTCCCTTCCCCTCTCTCTAAAAATAAATAAATACAATCTTTAAAAAAATAGTTTTAAAAATTTTAGCTAAAACTCTTGTAGTCCTAGTCCTGGCTGGTGTGGCTCAGTGGATTAAGTGCAGGCATGTAAGACTGAAAGGTCACCAGTTAGGTTCCCAGTCAGGACACATGCATGGGTTGCAGGCCAGGTCCCCAGCTGGGGCGTGTGAGAGGCAACCAATCAATGTTATCTCTCACACACTGACGTTTCTCCCCCTCTCTTTCTCCCTCCCTTCCTGTCTTTCTAAAATAAATAAATCTTAAAAATAAATAAATAAAACTCTTAAGTGTCCTAAATTTCAAATGGAAATATTAAATTAACTCACAATATATTTTATCTTAAAAATATATTTGTGTGTCTATTTTCAAGCTCTGTTAGTTAAATGTCTTATAAATAGTCAAGAACCTAGTAACATGAACACTCCTAGTGCCGCCCAGGCCATGGTCTCCAAATACCACGTTCTATTAAAAAACTATGACTCTTTGAAAAGTGGCTCGGTATGATATATGGGATAGGAAGTAGAGATGATGAGTCTGGAAAAACATGTCTGACCAGAAAGCAAGGAAGCTGTCAAAGATCAGTAAATGTGTATCAAAAGGATCAAGAATCAATTTGAAGAGGCTCCCTCTAGTCAAATAAATGGGTCAGTTTAAATAAAAACGCAGTGGGGCTCAAAATACCAAATATGTTTAAATCTCTAAGTTCATATTGACACTTAAAAAAAGGTTTGGCATCTTTGAAGGATGCTAAGGAACCAACTCATTCTGAAAATGGGTAAGTAATGAACTTATACCTCTATGCCATCAACTAGTTCTATTGTAGACCATTCCAGCTAATAAACAATGACAGAAATTAGGCTACCAATTTGCAGCCTCAAATCAGTGACCTTCTATAACCTATGAAACAATTTTGCCAAAAAGTTGAACCTGAATTTGATCAAACTTCTGTCTCTCAATATTAATTTTCAGGAAACACACAAAATATGCAGCACAGAGAAACATGTTCATCTCTTCTACAACTCTGTGTTCTGGGATGTCATGTTGGTAGTTTTTTTATTTTTATTTTTTAATATGTTTTTTTTTCAAGTATTTATTTTTAGAGAGGGGGGAAGGCAGGGAGAAAGAGAGGGAGAGACACATCAATGTGGGGTTGCCTCTCCTGCACCCCCTACTAGGGACCTGGCCTGCAACCCAGGCATGTGCCCTGACTGGGAATCAAACCAGTGACCCTTTGGTTCACAGGCTGGAATTCAGTCCACTGAGCCACACCAGTCAGGCCTCATGTTGGTAGTTTTAAATCAGCCATGGTAAGAATGTTTATACTACAGAAACCAGCAAGTGCAATAGAAGTGGGCTTTTCATCCCAGAGAACCAAGCATGGAGTATTTACCAGCACACCATTGCCCACAGGGATGCCATCACTAAAATTCTGAAAGAGTTCTGAAACTCTTAGGACATATGACCTAGTTCCTTCAACAAATAAAATGCAAGGGAAAAAAAAAAAGGAAACACATAGATTAAAAGTGACTTAAGGAAAAAAAAAGTAACAGGATCATCAAGATAGTATGATATTACTATAATACAGACAGATCAACAAAATAGAAAGTAGAGAAATATACACACACATACACAGGCAACTGATTTTCAACAATGGTGCTCAGTGTGCTAGAATGACTAGATATGCAAAAAAAAGGAACTTCTATCAGTATCTCAAAACTTACATAAAAACAACTCAAAAGGGATCATATAAATGCATATTACTTTTTAAAAAAAAATGGATGAGAAACCTAAGTATAAAACCCAAAATTGTAAGACTGATATATTAAATTTACCCTTCAAAGAATTCTAAACCAAGAGGTGCACTGAACATACAATCTAACTGAATGCCAAAAGTTTGAATGTTTGATTAATATTCAAAGCCAAGATCAGCGAGCATCACCATTTTTTGTGTATTTCTCACATACAAGCCTAATTTTGAAATTACCAAAAAATTATAACTGTGCAATTAGAGATTTTAGTAATAATTTTAACATTTGACAGTGCAGTGCAGAAACAAGAACTCAGCATGGTCTGCCCCCTGCGCCTGAGCAGTTCCTGCGATTCTACTAGATTTGTCGGCTGGTTCTGCCAGGATATTGCAGACAATGAGATAGCCACCAACTCATTATTTTTGTCTTCCAGAGTACTGATTAATTAAAAGAATTATTTTGTCTAATATTATCAATGCTAGAGTACGTCAGTTCTGTACATTAGAATGCTATAATAGTAAATTTATTATTATTCTATTTTATTATTTTTTTAATCCCTATGCAAGGATATGTTTATTGATTTTAGAGAGAGAGGGAGGAGGGGAGGAGGGGAGGAGCGGAGGGGAGGAGGGGAGGGGAGGAGGGGGAGAGAGAGAGAGAGTCAGAGAGAGAGAGAGAGAGAGACATCGATTGGTTGCCTCCCGTACACTGACTGGGGATCAAACCCTCAAAATAGATAAGTGCTCTCACTGACAATCAAACTTGTCACATCTTTTGGTGTAAGGAACGATGCTCCAACCAACTGAGCCACTCGGTCAGGGCTCTATTATTCTAGTTAATGTTACAAGAATTTATAAAAATTATTTATTGGCTCAAAAAAGATACATTTTTTTCCTAGAAGTATCTAGTTAACTCACTTTCTCAACATTCATATACACTGTTAACCCATTTCCTTAGTTAACTCCGTGTCTAAATATTCATTCTAACTGTTAATCTACTTCTTTAAATTTCTTAGTTGTTTTGAATGATAAGTTAATAACTTTCAAAATCATCAATCACTGTAGCATTTTACTCTTGTAAGGAGTAACAATAATAATAGCAGATATTTATATCGCACTAATGACATGTCAGTTTCTACTCTACTGATACACATAGAGATTCTCCCCAACCCACCCTTGTAACAACTCTCTGATGTAGATCATATTATTATTCCCATTTTACAGATGAATGAAACTGAGACACAGGGAGATTAAATAACTTGCCCAAACCAGAAAGTGGCAGAGCTAGGATCTGAATCCAGCATAATGGCTTGGAGCCCATATTCTTAAACCAAGAGACACCCTGCCTCTTAGAAGCTGAAGGATGAGTAAAAGTTACATAGGTGAAGCGGGGAAGGGGGTTTGGAAGAGAGGTACAAGAAAAAAAAAGGAAACAGTACTTGTAAAAGCCCTATGGCAAGTGTGGGGAGGGAAACATAAAAAGGGCCACCTGGGGATCCCAGAGAACGCACTAAGTAACTCTGCAGGGGCCACACCACAGAGGACCATGCAGGGCAGGACAAGGAACAGAGAAGAGGCATGAAGCCACTGGGGCCTGAAGCAAGGAAAGCTACTTTGGTGTGACAACAGGCTGGTACAAGATGACCATGCAGGGAGCCCCATTAGGAGCTACGATGATAGAGCAGATGACAATAGCTGACACTATGATGGTGAGTGAAGGTAGTGGATATTAGAAAAAGATACCAATCATCAGGGCAGACTGACAGACTGGATTTTGCGGAGGAAGGGCATCAAAAAGAAGGAAGTCTCAAGGATGACTCCTACGCTCTGGTTTGTGAAACTGGCTGTACGGCAGTGCTTGTTCTCCAAGATGGAATACCTGAGGTATGTGGGCCTCAGTCCTGGACCAGTTGTGCAGGAGGAGCACTGGAGACGTTCAAGGGGAGGTAGCCAGGAGGAAGGTGGATACAAAGGCCTGGAGTCCATGCTAAAGTTTGGAGTCTGAGTCATATATTCCGGAGTCGGTATATAAATGACCATTCAACCTGCGTGGTCCATGAGTTCCTATAAAGACACACTAGAGAAAAAGAAGGCTTCAGGCAGAACGGTTAAGTACTCAATATTTTAAAAGGCCAGAGAGACAAGGATAAGTCTGCAAGGGAGCTGAAACGAAGAAGGAAAGCCAGAGAGTGCAGGAATCACAGAAACCAACAGCAGGGTGTGCTTAAGAAGATTAATGAAGTCAGATGTTCTTAGAGTTAAAGGACAACACAGATCAAAACATCCCTTAGGCCTGGAGATCTGTGGTGACTGTTTCAAAAGAGCAATGAGTACTGAGCCAGACCTAGACTGAAGTGAAGATTAAGAAAGAAGGGAGAAAATGAAGATAGAGCATACACCTGAAAAAGGTAGTTGACTGAGAATGTGGGGCAAGAGAAGATTTAAAATAGGAAAAATTGAGCATGTGTAAAATGCTGATTTTTAAAATGTTGTTCAGAAGACCAGAGTTGGGAGAAAGGAGGGGAGTATACCTAAAAAAGGAGAAGCTCCGCGACAGTGTGAGGCTTCTGTGAAGTCAGCAACCAATGGGCTTTAAAGCCTGCAGAGATGGGAGGAGAGATGGCGCCTCCCTTTTACCACAAGGCAAGAAGGCTAGAAGGCATGCAGGTACAGGCAGGGCTGCACCTTTGGGAGTAGGAAGGTGATGAAGCTCCCATCTGATGGCTCCTAATTCCTCTCTTATGTAGGGGACAAAGTTATATCTAGGAAATGAAAGAGCAGGTATAGGCAAATGGGGACAGTGACCAGGATTTGAGGAGCCAGGAAGGATTAAATCAGTCATGGTGGTGGGGAGAGGAAGAGTGTACCCAAGAACTGGAGATTGCTGGGTGGTGTTGGGGGCTCATTTCAGAATGCTGGTGACCAAGAATGTACAGAGCTCCCTGTCAGCCCCACTGTGACGTGTAGTGCTCTGCCTGTGGGTGTAGGCAGAGAGAAGGCAGATAGCAGGCAGTCACCCAGGAGGCGGATTCTTCTAAAAGGGTACAACAAAAAAATCTAAGGGGCAAGGAAGTTTAAAGAATTGGCAAGAATGCTAGAGATGGACCAGGGACGTTAGCTCCATGAAGAAAAAAGGGAGGAGAGAATAAAGGGAAAGAGAAGGGGTTATGACATGACAGAGACTAGTCACAGCACAGGCTGCTGATGGAAAGAGGCATGGGCACAGGGCAGAAGACTTGAATTTATGCCATTAATTATTATTACTAACCATTCATTAGATTATTTGAATTATTAATTAGTTCAATTACTCATTAATACATTAAGTAGATCAACCTCTGTGATATGATAAAAGGCTAAACTTTCTGCTCTGTGAAGAGATCTTACAAATCAGTAAGAAAAGAGCACCAACCCAATGGGAAAAATGAATGAAACACCTACTTGGCTGGAGACCCCTCTTCCAGGGGGTCAGGGGGCTCCTCCACCAGCGAGGGCTCCTCCACAGGTGCAGACGGCTCCGTATCACTGAAAAGCAGTGAGAACCATTCCAGTCATACAAACTTGTTTACATCAATGCTCTTAGATATTCAAGATAGAAAAAGACATTTCAATGTCTTGTTTCTTATATATACACATATAGGTAATCCACATCAAAATGAAAGAGAGAAAATGCCCTTATTCGCTAATCCGTATCAATCATCTCCACAAACGTGAAAGGTACTTGGAGAAACAGAAGTTTTTCTGAATGGCCTAAAATTAAAAACAGATTATAAAGGATGAGGAGAATTATTCAAAACTCTTATAAATTTAGGAAATTCCCAATATTAACAGGGGCCACAAAATGACTTACAATAGGTAAGAATATGCTGTATCAGACTTTTTATTTTTTAAAGGTTTTATTTACTTTTAGAGAGAGGGGAAAGGAGGGAGAATACGAGTGAGAGAAACATTGATTGGTTGTCTCTTGCACACCTCTAACTGGGGACCTGGCCTGCAATGCAGGCATGTGCCCTGATGGGAAATCGAACCAGCCACCTTTAGGTCTGCCGACTGGTGCCCAATCCACTGAGCCACACCAGCCAGGGCTTTGTATCAGACTTTTAGAAAATGGTAAAAGAGTAAAAACATTCCACAAAAATAAGTGTGTAGAATTACAAACAAGCTGGTAGTAACTATACTAGAAAAATAAGGCTTGAAACTGATTTATATACCATCGCATCTCTAAACACAGCCTACATACTAGAAAATTATAACACATTGTAAAACAATTTGAATTTTAATATATATGATCTTAATCTTCTTTTTTATGGTAACATTAATCCTACCTGAACATTACTTAAAAACAAAAAAGTCCTACTCTGATGTGGCACACGCCTGGGTTTTGGGCCAGGTCCCCGGGTGGGGGCATGCAAGAAACAACCGATCACTGTTTCTCTCCCTTTCTCACTCCCTTCCCCTCTCTCTAAAAATAAATAAATAAAATATTTTTTTTAAAAAGCCCCAGCATAAGAAATTTCATTTTCAGGAAAATGTTAAAATTAGTCAATATAATTGAGTAATATAATGGATATATAATGGATATTACATATCCATTAGAAATATTTTACACTACATACATAACACAACTTCATAAAATAAGCTATTTTTTCAAAAGTAAACATAAATTGAACTGTAAATAACAATAGACTTTTTACATTAATATTTTTAAATTCTCAAGTCAAAGCTATTGTAATCAACTTTTAATAAAACTCAGTTTTCAACATAAAATTTGAATGATTTTCACTTTTAAAAAGGGTTCTAAATCAAATACACTTGTGTTTCTTTTTAATTTTTATTTATTGATTTTAGAGATAGAGGAAAGAGGGGTAGAGGAACATCTGTCTGATGTTCCACTTATTTATGCATTCATTGGTTGATTCTTTTCTTAAATCCTCACCCAAGGATATGTTTATTGATTTCAGAGAGAGAGGAAGTAAGGAGGGGTGGAAGGAAAAACATCGATGTGATAGAGAAGCATTGATCAGCTGCCTCCCATACGCACCCTAACTGAGGATTCAGACCTGCTACCTGGGTATGTGCCCTGACTGGGGATCAAACCCAAAACCTTTTGGTGAACAAGATGATGCTCCCAACCAAATGAGCCACCCAGCCAGGGTCATTGGTTGACTCTTGTATGTGCCCTGACCAGGGACTGAACCTGCAACGTTGGTGTATTTGGATGACGCTCCAGCCAACTGAGCCTACCCTACCACGGCTAAATGCACTCATGTTTGGAAGGACATCCTTGCTGCTCTGCCCAATGGAGGTCCCTTCACAAAGGCTGCCTAGGTACATCAGCCTGACCCTGTGGGGTCATAGGAATTATTAGCATCCAAGAGCCCCAAAGTCCAGCAGCAGCCTCAGCATTAAATTACTCCAACTTCCTCTTTATTCCCTTGGCCACATAATAAACCAAGGGGATTAAAAAAAAAAAAAGAAAGAAAGAAAGTGTACCAACAGTTCATAGCTTTCAACAATTAAAATTCCTTAAATGGCTACAAAGACATGGGGAAAGGAAAAAGAAGCAGAATACAAAACAAAGAGACTTGGTAAAAACCAGTATTTCTAAAATTTGAGCAATTGTCTTCAAAGGGAAAAAAAAATCATACACCTCCCCCCTGTATTGACCTAAATTATTTTTTTATTATTTTTTATGACTAAAACTAACATTGTATTTACAGCTCTTATAGAACCATAATGACAACTACAAAACAATAAAGTTTTAAAATTAAATACAATTTATTTTGGAAGATTTTGTTATTTTGTTTAAAATAAAACACTAATGTTGGATTAGTTAGAAGAAAGACCTAGCTTCAGAGCTTAGTCTATATATTTTTTAATTTTTCATTTATTGATTTGTTGAGAGAGAGAGCAAGTGTGGGTGCGTAACATCAATTCATTGTCCCATTTACTTATGCATCCATTGGCTGATTCTCATAATTGTCCAGAGCGGGGATCAAACCTGCAACCTCGCCATATCTGGATGATGCTCTAGCCAACTGAGCTACCTGTGCAGAGCCCACGTCTATATTTTGACTTCAACTTTTCTAAGATAGAACATGCCTGTTTGCACAAGCATGTTCCACAAAATGATGTTAAACACCTCAAGGCTTTGTTTTCTAGTTCATTCAATCAGACTTCACATTTAACCAAATCTATGACAGTGAACAGATTTTAGCCAACTGTTACTTGATATAACTACATAAACTGTCTTCCTCTTCACAACAGAAATTGGAAGGCAGGATTATTGAACATTACATTCATGGGTGTGGGTATCTATTTCAATTGGTAACAAGCAAATAATATCTGACATTGTACTTTTTAAATTACTGTTGATGGAACAAATTCTATTTTGAGCACAGGAACTCACGATCAAACTGTTCTGAAAATCGTAACACTGGAAATGGCTCAGGCACACCATTGTGAAAGCAGCTTGTCCACAAATCTAATTACGCTGCCAATATCTTCAAACAGGAATACTAAACTACAGCAAAACCCTCATACCTACACTGAACTGTGCAGTGTCTGGCCTCGCCAGCCTTATCATTTACTGTATTAGGCTCACCTCTGCTCTTGTTTATTAATCAAAAGTTGCACATAATTCAGCTGTACTACATGGTGTTCATGATGGCAAATCAAAATTACAATTTATTAAATAAATAATTGAAGTCTTACTCTAAGTAAAATCTTTCAATTATAGATTATTACCACCTAAGAGCTCTGACTTTGTAACTCACAAATCAATCCAAAATGAGTACCACAGAGCACCTTTCATCTTCACATCAGACATGCCAGTCTGCCAGGAACACGTGTGGTCATCTCTTCATGCTACAAGGCCAAGGCTGACCTCTTAGGATTAGTTATCACTTGGAGCCAAAAATAATTTTAAGTTCAAATGCAAACTGAAATAGAGTGGTAGCATTAAAGTAGTAAATCAGATGATTCAAAGAGGTGCCTATATTGCTTTTTAAAAATACATTATCACTATATATATATATATATTCACATATATATTCGTATATATATTCACAGTAAAATAAAACAAAATAAAAAGGTTTATAATCAAGATCCTATGGAGGCATCTTGGCCACCAACATGCCATCCAGACTGAGGAAGACCCAGAAACTTCAGGGCCATGTAAGCCACAGCCACGGCCGCATCGGCAAGCAAAGGAAGCACCTGGGAGGCTGAGGTAACGCTGGTGGCCTGCATCATCACAGGATCAACTCCGACAAATATCACCCAGGTCACTTTGGGAAAACTGGTATGAGGCATAACCACTTAAAGAGGAACCAGAGCTTCTGCCTTACTGTCAACCTTGATAAACCGCGGGCATTGGTCAGTGGGCAGACATGAGTAAATGCTGCCAAAACCAAGACTGGAGCTGTGCTTATCACCACTGAAAATCCCATGGAAGCCCAGATTGAGAACATTCAACAAGTTTTTTTCCTTTCAAGGACAAGACATGTGCAATGGTAGTAAATCTAGTGTTACATTTGATATTATTGTGTACATTTGTCTTTAAGAATAACAATTTAGGAAAAATGAATTTATATAAAAAGTTTATATTCAAAAGAAGAAAAGTGGAAGTCTGGATCCTCTCAAATGTTTAAACTTGTGGAAAGCCTGCCCTGCAACATGACCAAGGGGGACCCATTCATCACCCTACACTACCTTGAAGTACTTCCTGCCTATCTATCCCTTTGCAGACACCAGGAGGGGATCGTCCCCGCAGCAGTGAAACGACAGACACAGCAGAACCACGTACCTCCTTTAAGGAGCAAAACTGGAACAGATCTGAGACACCACGATGCCTCAGAGAAATGTCAAATTTGAACCTCAGGTAAAACTTGTCACTGAGCTTCAATCTGCAAAATGATTTCAGGAAATGAAGATGCAATGTATGTAAGAACTTTGGAAAGTCACAGAAAAATGAAATATAGAATATCCAGGAATTTTAAAAAACATTCTGAGGCTTTTGTAAATGTAGTGTCAGGTGCTTGGAGCATCGGCAAACACACAAATATATTTGGCTAAAATAAAACAAAAGTATCTTAAAAACAGTTTTCAAATCTAATTACAACAGAGCAAACCCATTATTTAAAGTTAAATAAAAGCCTAAAATCAATCTCTACTTAAAGGAACACAAGTATAAAGGCACTGCAAGCACAAAGAGGACATAATTTTCATGAAAGACCAATTAAGATTTGAGACCTCCACTTAACTGTAGGTTCACAGAACGCACGCATTTCCACCATACCTGGTATCTTTACCTGATCCCCAGGTGCGAACTCCACATCCACCCATGTTGTCTTCAGTTCTGATTGCTCTAGAGAAAGAAAGGATATTCCCTTAAACTGGAAGCTGGTCTCTAGTCAATCTCCAACTCAGAAAAACTGATCTAAAAGTTATCCCAGGATTAGCTCTTTCAGGAATGACAGTATACTAATATAAAGTCAGCTAAATATTACCACATAACACATTCCTATTATGTATGACTAAGATCTTAAACTGAAAATAGCATTTACGAAGAAACTTACATTTTATCACTCCCACCATATCTCTCAAATTCCCGTTTCCCTCTCTGGTCAAAACGGTCAAAAGCTCTGTTCCCGGGACCACCTCTGCCTCTGCTCCGCAGGCCCCCTCTTGGGCCTCCACGTCCTCTCAGTGGTCTGTCTCGATCCAATCGGTCAACCAGTCTAGGAAAACATGGGTATAATAAAAAGTGGTGAATTAAAGAGCTGAGGCTTTTTTAAAGAAAAAAATTCTAGCAAGACATTATGGCTATAGCATATTGGAAAGAGTGGTGTCTTGAGTAATGAATAGTTAACTTTTACTGAACACACTATCTCCGGCATTGTTCTGGGTGCTTCACAAACAGCCATTTAATTCACACGAACAAATCTGTAATATACAACTACTGCCCACAGATGAGGAAACTGAGGCACAGAGGAAGTAGGTAATTTGCCCAAGGCTACTAAGTAGGGGGGCCAGTGAGAAGCAGGTCCTGGGCAGGTCTTATTACACTAATCTGTAGAGGGTCACCCATTTCTCTCTCTGGATTTGGTTTCTTCATTTATAAAATGAGAAGGTTAGATAAACTAACTCTAAGGTTCATCTGTGCTCTAATACTAAATATTTAAGTTAAATTTGGAATGTTATGTATAATAAGAAAAATAGTTAAACTTCAAATTATGTCTCCTCCCAAATATATAACTAGCCAGTGACATTTGGGGCTGAAAATACTACCCTACAACAACCGGACTTTTACCCTTATTGCTCCACATAAACTTCCAAGGACAAAGCCCTGGCCGGAGAGCTCAGCTGGTTAGAGCTTTGTCCTGATGTGCCAAGGTTGAGGGTTCAATCTCCAGTCAGGGCACATATAAGAAACCATCAATGGATATATCAATAAGTGGAAAAGAAATCAATGTTTCCCTCTCTCTCTGAAATCAATAAACATTTTAAAAATTATAATAAACTTTGAAGGCCAGCTAAAGACAACCTCTTGGTTGTTAAATCCAAGAGTAACTTTTGTCTTTAAGTTATTTGACCCCTATTCACCATGTGACACGGCCAAGCACTAATTTTCCTCTGACCTTTCTGACTTCTATTTCCCTATCTGTCCATAAAATATTATTTTTGTAATTGGTAATATCCATATATGGTACAAAATGACAAAGTACTCCCCTTGCTCCTCGGCTACTTATTTGCACTTTTCAGAGGCGGGCAGATCCAGAGTCACCCAAGAGAAAGTTCTGCAGCTTGCCTTTTCCACCTATCATATCTGGGCTCTCTGCACACAGGTGCCTCCCTTGTTCTTCTGGATACCCATCCCCCATATATTGTCCTCGCCCCTGTGCTAATGCTACCTGACCCTCGTTCATGTGACCCCATTTATCTTCCTTGGGGGGTCTCTGATTCAAGGTCACAAAGCCAGGGACTCTGTGAACAAACCCCCGGGTACATGCCCAGCCCTACAGATATGTGACCAGCAGTGACCTCCTGCTCCCTCTATGGTCCATAACTCACAACACAAGAGTGCCTAAGCCAAGAACTGGGCCCTTTCTCCAACTCCCCTTCCCCTTCACCGCACCCACTGGTCCCAGGGTCTGCTTGCCCACTTCTTCTCACAACTGTCTCTGCCTCACTGCTGGTTGCCATCCCTTTCCGTGAGGACTCACCTCTCTGCCACTAGACTCAAAACTCCTGAAGCAAGGACCACATCTTTTCTCATTGTTAAACCCTCATTTAATAGGACAAATTGTATTTTTTTAATTTGTCAAGGCTTTTAGAAGCATTCAAGCTATAAGAAACTACTTAGTGAAATTGAATGGGGCATTATTAATGGGTCCAATGCCAGAACTAAAGGTCTACTTTTATGGCTGAATATGTTAACATTAAAAAGCTACTAGCCCTGGCCAGTGTGGCTCAGTTGGTTGGAGCATTGTCCTGTGCACCAAAAGGTTGTGAGTTCGATCCCCAGTCATGGAAGCCTACAGGGGGCATCCAATCAATGTTTTTGTTACATTCGTGTTTCTCTCTCTCTCTCCCTCTCCCCCTTCTCTCTTTCTAAAAGCAATGAAAAGATGTTCTTGGGTGAGGACTTAAAAAAAAACTACTATACAATCATGCATAAAAGATACAAAACTCAATTCTCCTTACCCGAAAAGATAAAAGAAATAGAGAAACATGGATCATTAACTTCATGCCAGCCTCTAATAAGGAGAAATACCATTCTAAATAAATTTTACAAGTTGCCTTTTGTCTCCCACCTCCCCTAACCAAAACTTTTTTTTAGTTTAAAGGGGGCTCATTTATTATCATTGTTCCAAATGTACAAAAAAAAAAAAATAGAAAATAAGCCCCCAAACCAAATTTTAAGAGAGTTTACTGTTGTAAAATCTGATTCTATATTAAAGTACCTAAAGCAGAGTTTTAAAACAATGACAAAAAAAAAGTTCTTAACCAGGAAGTTGGATAGGACCATAAAAGAAAAGAAACCTACCCCAAAATTGAGTCCTGGCTGGTGTGGCTCAGTGGGTTGAGTGCCGACCCACAAACTGAAAGGTCACAGGTTTGATCCCTGGTCAGGGAACATGCCTCGGTTGTGGGTCAGGTCTCCAGTTGGGGGTGTGGAAGAGGCAACCAACTGATGTTTCTCTCCCTCTCTTTCTCCCTCCCTTACCCTCTCTCTTAAAATAAAATCTTTTTTTTTAATTGAAAGGAAATGAAGCAAAAACATACATGGAAAATAATGCCAACAGCCAAAGTCAAGTATAAATTTACATGAAACCTAGATCAGATACAGACAAAATTACAAAGTCATTTAAACTATAATAGTGATGAAAACTGCCGTAAAAATAGCTCTCTGTGTTCTGGTATATTTTTTAATTCCTTAAACCATTTTTTCTTTACAAGTTTACCTCCAGCCCCAATTAAATATATTCTCAATTGTTTCTTTACTTTCCCCTAATTATAAAATATATCTTCTTGTCACAGGTTGGTGAGATTGAGGAATCCTGTACTCCACTTCAGAAGCTTTGTAATGCACTCACAAGCCAAAGGAAGGAAAATAACCTTTCAGCCAAGCATCCCAATTTATATACTTGTCATCCACTCTCCTATAACAATCCTAATACATAGACATGAGTATGTTTTACAGGCAGAGGGAATGAAGCACTTGGGCAGGGGGTGGGGAGCTGGTGTTTAATGGGCACAGCTGGGGAAGATGAAATGGCTCTGCAGGAGGATGGAGATGGTTACACGGCAATGTGAATGGACTTGATACCACTGAACTGTACATTTAAAAGGGGTTAAAAATGATATGCATTATGTATATACAGTTTTTAAAAAAATGTTTCCTTAGGAGGAAGGAAAAAAATTTAAACATGTAATTCTTTCAGAACTGGAACTGACTTCAAATGACCAGCAGTAAACTTCAGAAAAGAGAAATTGTGTCCAGACAGAGGCAGACTAATTTCCTAATAGTCTGTATTCTAAGAGTTCACCTAAATTCATCATTTGCAGCCTAAAGGAAAATTCCTACTGCATTATAAACAGCAGTTGTGTTCCCAGACCATATGCACCAAGTAACATGGCTGATCCCTACACACAGCCACACTGACAGTTACTCCCAGCATAACTTATGACATTACTTCTATGTGAAAACATGAGCTCTGCCTTAGTGGAATAAAAATCCATGTCAGCTGGCTGTGACCAGAATCCACACTGCTGAAACTCTGGGTCTTTGTTTCTTCGTCCATAAATTGAGAAGACAGAATTAGTTAAGACAGTCTGTTAAGATAATCAAAATTCTAAAATTGTGTCCAATAAACATGTACAGGTATTATAGGAATGAAAGGTGATAACCATTTTCACTATCAAATAAGCAAAAGTCAATATAACTCATTATATTTAAGTCTGGAGAAAGTGCTATGAGAAATGCTTTTATAGATCATTACTGATAAGAGTAAATTGATAGATGACTAGGATAGCGATTTGTCACTATGTATCAATATCCAATTTTTGTTTATTTTTACACTACATGTACCCATCCAACCTCACAATGAAGCACATCTGGGGCCCAGATTTGGATCCATGAGAATGACTGCTTAATGCCCCTAACTAGGACTCCCACTTCCAGAACTCCATCTAGGAAAGTCCCTACATCTATAAAAAGCTGCTCACTGGGAATTATTTATAAAGCAAACAACTGGAAGTTGAGTGAAGGTCTAACACTAAGGAAATGATTACATTATAATACATAAAAACAATAGGTCATAATAAAATGCTTACCAAACATTGTTAATGACATGGAAAAGACTTCCACCATGTCAAATGGAAAAGGAGATAAAGTACTTAGTGTGTATGCATTATCATCTTAACCTCTAAGTATTGGGTTGGCCAAAAAGTCTGTTTATTTTCTGTCAAATAAAAGACACATTTTTTCATATTCACCAATAACTTTATTGATTTGGATATTTTGAGTATGTCGTCTATCACCCACTATTGGCTACTATTGGGTAGAGGCCAGGGGTGCTGCTAAAAACATCTTCCAATGCCTAAGACAGCCCTACAGCAAAGAATTATTTGGCAAAAATGCCAATAGTACCAAGAAACTTTGCAAACCACTTTTGACTAATTGATCAGTCACAGTGTCTTCTCCATACACTGCACAAATCTTCTTTTTCTTTGCATTTCAGTTGTGTTTTTACCTTTCTTGAAATAATACAGTATAATACACCAAAATGTTGCACATTTTCTTCCATCTTCAATATTAAAATGGCTGCACAAAAATTCACCAATTTTGATAAGTTTTTTTCTTTATGCACAGTGATATGACAGCTGTCACAATATAATCTAACAAAATTGTTTCAAATGAAGTTAAAGACAACTAAGCACTCCTACAGCCATCATACAGAAAAAATTAAATGAACTTTTTGGCCAACCTAATATATACGTATGGGTTAAAAAAAAAAGGGAAGAGAATAGGTCAATCATCTCAGATGGCAAGATATGTGGTTTTAATTTTCTTTATAATTTTACATGTTTTCCAAATTGTATGAAGAGACTACAAATTGTCTTTATTAAAGATCTTATGGACCTTTATTAATAGAAGAGTACTTTTAAAGAAAGCAAGGAAAGTATGTTTTCTGATGACACATGACTTATCAAAAAAATTTTAATTTCCTCAGAAGCAAAAATTCCTACATATTCCTAATGTGATATAGTGAGGACATGGGCCATCACTTCTGTGGTATTCCTGCCAAAATGCATGAGCTCGTTCCATAAGGACACTGGACAAACTCTGCTATTTTCTACAAAACAAATGGCCTCCACCCTTCAAAAAATGTCCAATTCATAAAAGATAAAGTAAGACTAATGAGCTGTTCCCATTTAAAGAATACCAAATGCAATGCACATTCTTGGACTGGATCCTGAACCAGACTTTTTCTATTGCTAAAAGGACATTACTAGGACAACTGGTGAAATCTGAGCTGTTTGTAGAGTACATAATTTAGAGAATTAAATAGAATTGTATTGATGTTAATAAATTTGATAATTGTGCCATGCCTTTAGGAAATATAGTTAAAGTATTTAGGGATAAAGGAACATTTCTGTACCTTACTCTCAAATGACAAAAAAAGTGTTTGTATGTGAGAGAAAGAGAGAGAGAATGTGTACGGGGAGAGAAACTGAGAAAGAAAAGGAAAGAGAGGAGTATAATGAAGCAAATGTGATTAATATTAACATTTAGGGTATCTGGATGAGGGTGTATGGAAATTCTTTATATAATTCTTGCAACTTTTTATAAATCTGAAATTATTTTTAAAGAAAAAAGAACAAAATACCTCCATATCCTATATCCCACACAATCCCTAGCCATACATACATAGCATTAAATCCATACATGTATGTATGGATTTCACTTAACAGGGATCTTGTTAACATATAAAGATCTTATCCTTTTTAAAGACTCATAATTTTGCAACTAAAAAATCCTGGAAATATGGGTTTGTGCTTTTGAGCTATAGTTTTCTCATTTCCACACAATTCCTGAAGTGAGAAAAAATAATACACAAATGCTTCTTAAAAAATACGCAGCTCTGATCCAGAAGGCTGTTTGTAAGCATGCAGACTGTGGCCATTATACAGCAAATCTAAAGTAATCACCAAAACAGGCAGAATTAAGCCTTTCTCTAACCCTCACTTCCAGCATGGTGGCAGACACACCGCATCTTAAAGTTCTGAATGTGTAGCTGCTGGGGAACAGATCTGCAGAAGTCATCCCCTGCTCAGCCCTCTCACACTCAGCTACTCTATACTGGACTTTTTTGTTTGTTTGTTTAATGAACTCCAAAGTATAGTTTTACAAAGCCATATTCTTTGGCTAAAACTTGTAGCCAGGATCCTAAATAGGATTAGTAGTCAAGAAGTTCAAAGACTTGGGAATAAAGGCTCCCTGGACATTAAACTATACACTGTTCTGGTTTCCTTAAGCCTTTTCTTAAACACTTTTTTTTTTAAATCCTCTCCCCGAGGATATGTCCACTGAATTTAGAGAGAGAGGAAAGGAGATAAAGAGAAAAATATCTATCAGTTGCCGCCCGTTCGTACCCCAACCAGAGATCAAACCGCAACCTAGGTACGTGCCCTGGATCGAACCAGCAACCCTTTGGCATATGGGATGATGCCCCAACCAAACAAGCTACTCGACCAAGACATCTTAAGTCTTTTTTACTTTATTTTCCTTTAAATATGATTCATAAGTTATTTCAGTTTAATCTAAACTCAGTGCTACGGAGGTTTAAGAATTAAAAACTTTAGGCACCAAGCACCCATCCTGTCAGCGCCAAGCATAAGACACAAAAACATGCCACCTGTGTACAGGTGGGCACAGATGGTCTGCATGATGCCACACCCCTCAGGAGCAGTGTCAGACTGCGTCAGCCCAAGACCATCTTCTGGGTCAGAGCACTTTGTAGAGAAGTTATGGGAGCCAGAAATTGTTGTTACATGTCATGAGTTTTTCTTCAAATTTCATCATGATAGTCTATGGACCTGACTATGGGGCTAGCAATTTGTTTAAATTCATCAGTGATCTATAGCAATAATGCTAAATCAAAAATATAATTATATCCCTAGCCTAAACTTCAAAAGAAAACTTACCCACTTAAACATACTCCTGTGCAGTTTTATAAGGGTACTTTTCATAGTTACTAATAATTTAGTTTTCATCATGAAATAATTGCCTGAACCAAGGCTTAAAGTCATGCAGGAGATAAATGTAAGATCCTTCACATGGCACCTAAGGAAATATGATTTGTTTTCTAAAGAGGCAAACAATACCCAGGCCCAGCACCACGAAAAGGTCACAAAGGCTAGTCGTTCGCTGAAAACCTTTCTGGTTCTCAGCCCTTCTGGCCAAGATTTGTCTGCAGTACATACTTCTCATCCGTAAACTTCTCAGGTGTAGAGTCTGCCTGCCTCTCAGTGTCGCAGGGTTGATAGTCCCTGTAGGATCTCCGCTCTGCTCTGTCCAGCGTCACTTCTGTCCCCCGGGTATCACTCCATCCCTGCTGCTCCCCTCTTCTAGTAGTTCGCTTCTGGCCTGCCAGCAAAAAATCAAAGGGGAGAACTGGAACGCAAGGTCTACGACAGCATATTATTTACAGGTACTTTTACATTTCACTTTGCTAGAATCAACATCATGGGAAAATCGGGAAATTTGGAAAAGTTTAGAGAAGAAAAGTTGTTGATATTACTATGGCCCAGCATCAACTACTTTTTAATAAAAGGTTTAAGTTACTATTGCATTACATGCTTTCCCTTATGTTCTAGAAAGTATGATTAAGGTAAACGAACTATACCAACTAATCTGTAATTATAGGTATCTCACAGTGACCCTTGTGATAGATATGGATATAATTGCTAAACCAACTACATTTCACAAAAGCAGTTTTATCAAAACATGGTAGCTAAGCTACATCCAGAAAATTTTAGAATACCCTGTACTTTTAAGTTGTATTTTTAGAACCTCAACTATGATTTAGCATCAGCTCCTAAGGCTTTTGGTTTTAAATATAGCTTGTACCATTACTGTCTTTTTTATTTAGAAACCGGTTTTCCTGCTATTTGATGGTATTTATGCATTTATGATCATACTTCTCAAATATGAGGCCAAACTTGTACTGCCAAGTCATATAAAGGCCAGTAAGCATCCAAAGGGACATGTCATCCATGGAGCCAGCACTCAGCTGGGATGGGGACTGAGTGTTCCAGTCTCTCCCTCTCTCCTCTCACCTTACTTTACTCCCTGCTCCTCCAGTTTGATGCTTTAAAAATGTTACACAGATGTCTGATAGGCATCTAATACTGAAGAACTTTTTCCAATATTTAAAGCATCTTCCAAAACTGTTAATCTTTTTATATATTTTAAAAGTCCCCATCTCAAACACTATGTACAATTTTTATTATATTACCTTTATCTATAAATCATCCTTCAATTGGTTATATGGCTATAAAAATACTAAATGTATTTTAATTAATGAGTATTTTTGAAATCGCTGGTTTCCACTCCTACTTAGACAAACAACCATGACTTTTAAGGACTATATTGGGTTGGCCAAAATGTTCATTGGTTTTTTTCTTTTGTGTAGCCGTTTTAATATTGAAGAAAATACACAACATTTTCAGCACATTATGCTTTATTATTTCAAGAAAGATAAAAATGCAACTGAAACACAAACATAGATTTGTGCAGTGTATAGAAAAAGTGCTGTGACTGATCAAGCATGTCAAAAGTGGCTTGGAAAACTTTATGCTGAAGATTTCTCACTGGATGATGCTCCATGGTTGGGTAAATCAGCTGAGGTTGATAGCGATCAAATTGAGACATCATTTGAGATCAATTATATCACATGGGAGATAGCCAACATACTCAAAATATCCAAATCAATAAAGTTATTGGTGAAAATGAAAAGTGTGTCTTATTTTACAGAAAAAACTAAAGACTTTTTGGCCAACCCAATATTTATACATATTTTTCCATTTTCCCACTTAATATTTTCTATCTAAATTTTATAAACTGGGCGCATGTATTAACATTGTTCCAGTACTTTACTGATCTCATTTTAAAGCAAAAATCATGTCTGTGACACCATTAACATAAAATTCTGCAATTTATTAAATGCTAGTTAACATCAAGTATATTTTCAAATGTGAAAAGTTGTACAACAGATCTAAGTTCAACCTTAAGTTAATGTCCCATAACCTAGAAATGCTTAAATCCAATTTACATCTTGTACTAAAGTCACAATCTGAGCTTGTGACACGTTTAGAATATGGGGGAAATGTTACATAGTATTATATTTTACTGCAGAAACTGAGTAAACAGAGACTGACGCTCAAGCCCAGTTGCCCAGCAGTACACAATGCCAGATGCAAGGGTATACCCTTTCTCTACCAGAGATGATTTGGAAGAGGCATTTGAAACGTAAGATAAAAAATTTTATTATGAAAGTTAATTATCTAACAAGTTGAAAATGATAATAGACCATGACATAACAGTCATAAGCAAATGTGTCACCAGTAATAATTTTCAACATTTTCCTCTCAATGTAAAAGTTAATTTATTACAGCTTCAAATTTCCTACGTATAACCTGTAATTTTTTTAAAAAATCTTAATATCTATTATCAATTACAGAATTAGGTGCATATACCACCTTCTCCTTCCTCAAGGTTATCAATTTTTGAGTTGTATCAATTAAATTTGGAATTCACCATTCAAAACTTAAAATGACATTCATTGCATGCTTCGTATTAAAACTTCTTCCAAAGTTGTGTATAAATTTAAAATAGTTCAATATGACTGGCTACTTATTAGGGTAATTATCAACACCCTGCAAATTTTTCACTCTATTTCCAAAACCCAAAAAACAAAGATAATAGGAGTACAATTGTTTTCCCACAATTTAGTACTAAGAGATTAAGATTGCAAATGAACCTTGTTTGTTTTTCTGTGCTGGATCAGCAACTCCAAGTGGATAGTGCAAAGGCTGAATTGCAATAGCCCTTCACAATATAAGGCTGCTACGAGCAGTTGTTCACTGATCTATATCCAAGCCCCCAAAGGGACAGAATATAATAAAATTTACAATGAGATTTCCTACAAAATAAAGTTGACCTTTGACTCAAAGACAACAGTTCTGAAAGGCTAAGAAAAGTAAGGACAAAAAGCCTCTGAGGACTTCAAGAAAGGATTTATTGAGCAAGGCTCACACAAGGGTCAATGTACAGTTGACCCTTGAATTTGTGTCAATTGAAAAATCCACATATAAATGGACCTGAGAAGTTCAAACCCACATCATTCAAGGGTCAACTGTATACTGTTAAATACTGAAGGACAGTAAAAATCTCCATGGGAAACTCTTACAATTTCCACATCCTTTTGAAATTAATAAATGTTTCCATTATATGTCAAACATGTTTTGACTTTGTTTCTTGCCAACACTAAGCATCCACTCACAATATTCAAACTACATTAAAACTTTTGAGTGTTAGAAAAGTACAGTCCATGTCAATTAGGGCTGCAAAACCTGGAGATAAGTTTAGTACAGTAATTACATAAATAGAAATGAATGAGCTGTTAGCTCCTGACATAACACAAACTTGAAGAAGAACTAGAATGACAAAATTTCCACTTTTTAACTACAGAATTAACTGAAGAGCTTTAGTATAGATGTCAAAAGCCAGATCACCTGGCTCCTGAATAGAAAAAAAGGTATAAATATACCAGATTACAATGCTAAGTGAAAGAAGCAGACTACACCCCAGTTTATATTGTTCAAATTTAAAAAACAAGAAATGGCTCTGTGCATTTATGTCTATAAATACAAGGTGTTAACAGTAGGAAAAATAAGAGATTTTTCACTTTATGCAATTCTAATTTGCTTAAAATCTTTTTAACAAACATGCATGACATTTTTAATTTTATAAAAGTTACAAAGTGATGTTAATAGTACTAAATGCAGTTTCACACTATTCTCAAGGATAAAATATATTTTCATTTGTTAAAAAATAAAGGGAGAGGAAAAGCTTAGTCTTTCTCTATTCTTTTATTACTATATCTAAATAAATTTAAGAGAAAAATAGAACATAATACAAAATGTATATCATATCTCAAGTTTCATTCACTGTTTAAATATGTTCATAAACTTATGGCCTACCAAGGCATCTTGAAATAGCATTTTAAATAATTTTCAGCATCTGTATTACAGTAACTTGATTTTCCCATTCTTAGGTGATAGCGCTGGTACTTTTCACACATAATGGTAAACATTACCTAGTTGCAGGAGTCAAAGCCCCAATACTTAAAAGTTGTTTTCTCAAGGTTGGAATAAACAATTACATTTTTTAAAAATTTTCTATTCCTGTTGACATTCAGTATTATTTCAGGTTCAGGTGTACAGCATAGTCGTTAGACATTTATGTAACTTAGGAAGTGATCCCTCCCATTAAGTCTACTACCCATTTGGCACCATACACCGTTATACAATACTACTATATTCCCTATGCTGTACTTTACATCCCTATGACTATTTTTTAACTGCCAATTTGCGGTATGCACAATTTTTATCAAGCCAGGAACTAGCCAGTAAAGCTGAATTGAATATTGAATACACGGCCAAACACTGGCTGCAGTGATGGAGCTACACATCTTAATCTGAACACTCAGGCAAACCTTAGGGCTACCGCCTCCCGTTAGCGTTACGAAAATGGTAAACACAGGTGTAGTCTTAATGACTATACCATTGATGCAGTTCAGGTGAGAAAGGAGCTCTTAAGCACCTTTCCTCCCAATATGCAAACAGTAGTACAGTAAGCCTTGAGCAGCCATTCTGTCTAAACAGGGGGTGGGGAACTTTTAATATCCTTGTGGAAAAGGTTAAAGAAAGAAGCCTGAGTTAATTACAAGTTACACATCCCATCAACACCACAACCGGTATTGAAAAATAATGCTGGCTCAATAATGAAAGCTACGCCAAGCGGATGGGTTACAGGCGCCGGGGACCCCTAAGCATTCCGCTCGGGCCGACGTCACAGCCCCCCCGCCCCACCCCCCACGCAGTGGTCACCGGGCCTTCCTTCCATCACAGAGGCCCGCACACCTCACTCCGGCGATTCTTCACACATCCTGGGCTTTCGCCACCACTCCCAGGGGCCGGGTGCGCCCAGCCTCCCTAAGTGGGGCTCCCTTCCCAGCACGCCTCTCTTTGGTTCCCGACTTGGATCTTGCAGAGGGTGGGCTGGAGGATGGAGAAGGTCCCTGCTAGCTCTAGACTGGTGAGCCCCGGTGTAGCGACCCTAGTTTTTATCCCACACACCACCCCGGCAGTATCCCTCAACTTTGCCCAACTTGTGAAGGCTTAGTTCCAGGGTTTTGAGACCCCCTACTCCAAACCTGCGGCCCTTGCCCCAAGAAGGGACTGGGAAAGGTCGGAAGGGATGTGACACCTACTCTAACCCCGTCCTCTTTTCCTACCTTCTTCCACAAGGACCCTCAGCTCAACCCAACTATTCCCAAAGCCTTCTCCCCTTTTTGGAACAGGGTCTAGTGACCACAGACTCATACTGGGGGTACTGGGACGGCTTTAGATCGGTGACCTTTGTGACCCCATTCTCATTCCCCTCCCGCCCACCGGGCCCAGCCGCAGCGTCCAGGTTCCCGCCGCGGCACGCGTACCAGGTGTTTGCGGGCCGCCACCGGGGCTGTCTGGCTGCTGCGCGCAGGGAGCCGGGAGGCCTTTGCGTTCCTTCTGGGACTCCCGCCGGGCGCCGCCCGCGCCAGGTCTGTGGCCCGAGGACCCGGCCGGGCTCCTGCCGCCACGGTTGCCGGCCCCGGCCCCAGCCGCCGCCACCTCGTCTCGCCTCTTGCGCTGCAGCTGCTGCTGGCGTCGGCGCTCGGCCTCGCGCAGGATGTCAAACGGATCCGACTCGTCGTCCAGCAGTTGGTGGAAGCGGTTAGCTACAACGCACCCGAAACTCTCCTGCATCGCGGCGCCTGCGGCGGCCGCGGCCACGGGACTCCCCAGAACGCCCTTCATACCGCCGCGGCCACTGCGGACCTGCCGAGAGCAGCCCACGCGAGGGAGTCTCAGCGAAGCTGGCGGCAAGGACCCATCACGCACACCGCTGCAGCCCTCCCCGCCGGGTCCCCTCTTTCCCCGCGTCAGCCCCGCGCTGCCACAGCCTCTCGCCCAGCCGCCGCCAGAGAGCCAATCAGAGCACGCGGATACGCCCCTTTCGCTAGCGGGCACACCTGGAAGCCCAATCAGAGGCCGGCTGCTGTCACGTCCGGCAGTCTTCTGCCCCACCCCTCGCCTCACAGGGATGGGCCGAGCCCAAGAGGCGGAATTACTGGGAGGGCTCCAAGTTTTGTGGTCCCCGAAGATCTGCCTGTGTGGGTGGGTCACAGACCTTATTTGAGTTCTCTCTAGGACTGGGTCCACGTTCATTATTGGCTAATCTTCTCTGAAGCGTATGTATTCATTTAGCCATTGAACAACTAACTATGTGCTAGGCATTATGTTTGGGGAGATACAAGCTCCGTGTTTTCATTGATCTTGTAGTATATAGACAGAAAAATGTCCCGAAGGAAAGGCACAGACTTCTCTATAAGATAGCAAAGGAATCTGAAGCTTTCCCTAGAAAGTGCTGATTAAGCTGAGATCTGAAGGATAGCGAGGAGCAGAAGCAATGGTAAGTACAGAAATCTTAAGGTGGAGTAAGCACAGCCCATTCACAAGCTCAAAGACCTGTGACCTGGGTTGCAAAGAGTCAGGGGAAGGCCTTACTTGGTCTTTAGTCTAGGACCAGTAGGTAGCAAATTTTTTAACATGAGCATGTGCTTGAAAAGACTACTCTGGCTGCAACATGAAGGGCTTGGAGGAAGTTCAACTAAGCAGAAGATTGTTGCAGCGCTCCGGGAAAGAGCTGATAATACTGACTTGGACTAGAATGATGGAGGAAAGATAGCAAGCAGTAGATTGGAGAGCTATTTTGTAGGTTTTATCAAGTCTTGGTGATACACTCTATATGGATGAGGAGGAGGAAGAGGGGGTACGATGACTTCTGTTTTTCTGGCTGGTACAGCTGGAATGGTGGTACTATTCACAAAGAATTAGAGCACTGGAAGAGAATACTTTGAAGATCATGAATTCAGTCTTGGACATATTAAGGTTTGGGGTTTTGTTTACTTTTCTTTTGAGACATTCAGTTGAGGCCTGGAGCTCTGAGAACACCAAGAGCTGGACTTCTTCCAGGAACTCTTGCCTAGGCCCCGGGGCAGACACTTGGCTGCCATCCTAGAGCTTTTTTTCCCCTCTAACATTTCCTCAGAACCTGTATTTTGTTAGGGCATTAGATCGCTGTTTGCCCCAGGGGAAGTTGGGCCCTCTTTCAGCCTCAAAGTTGATTAATTTTAAATCATGCATTGTACTTCCATTCCCTTGCTAATGGTTAGTGTAGGAAGAGGCTTGTGATGCAAATCTGGCAGGACAGACCCGAGGGGAAGTATTCTGGAGGATATCTGGAAACATTTTTCTTATACCTAAAGAGGGATTGGGAAGGCATCTGCTATCTTCCCACTCTGTTCTTTGATCCTTTTGTGAGGAGGACAGGATGCCTTGAGTTATCATTCTTTATTGTGACTATGAGGATGGCAGAGCAGAGGCATGGAGAAAACTTAGTTCCTGATGTTGAGCTGCCCACTTACCCTGCTCAGGAACCTTCCAGCTCAGACTTATTACTACATAAGATGATAAATGTCATTCTTGTTTAAGCTACTCTTAGTTGTGCTTGTTTCTTGCATCCAGAAGAATTCTGTTAGAGCATCTTGCTCAGATGCATCATTACCCTTTTTTTTACTTTAATAAAAAATGGAAAAGGAACACTTAATCCTAATTGTTGCCAGGTCTGTGTTTTACTCACTTATTCAATTTTCTGTCATTCCTCAGGAGGAAAGGGATGATGCCTGTCTTTTTCATTGCAATGTATATCCCCAGTGCTTAGCATTCTATGTGGTTCTATAGTAGATTCTCAAAATTTGTTGAATGTGAAGATTTTGAGATAGTTGGTCGTCATCTTCTTAGTCAGCATGGGTTTATGATTAAAAGGCTGTATTTTTTTAACCTAAGGAATTGAGAGCAGATGCTCAAAGAAAACTTGTATGTGACTGTGTATAGCAGCACTACTCATAATGGCCAAAAGATGGAAACGACCCAAGTGTGCATCAACTAATGAACACATAAACATAATGGATTAATATTTAGCTGTAGAAAGGAATGAGTTACTGATGCCTGCTACAAAATTGTTGAATCTTGAAACCATTATGCTAAGTGAAAGAAGCCAGACATAGATATTATATGATGTCATTTATATGAAATGTCCATAATAGGCAAATCCATAGAGGCAGAAAGCAGCTCAGTTGTTGCCAAGGGTTCTGAGGAAAGAGTATGGGAAGTCACTGCTTAATGGGCATGAGGTAGTGTGTTGGGGTAAAGAAAATTTTCAGAAACTATATAGTGGTAATGGTTGCACAAAATGTGAATGTACTAAATACCACTGAATTGCACAATTTAAAGTGGTTATGTTACAGGAGAAACTCCGAAAAACTCGGTTCTCGCCTAGTTTACTAGGCAGTAAAAAGTTACAGATCAGTGAATCCATTAGTGTGCGAGCAGGGTTTATTGGCGATCCCTTCTCATGGAAGACAATGGCCTAGCTAAGGTGGGGGGTGAAAGGTATAGGCAAAGCAGGGCAATGGCAGTGAAAGTAAGGGTGGCCAAAGGCCAGGGTCACAAGCGCACACCCAGGTGGCCAGAGGCTGGGCAGCCAGAGATCCAAGAGAGAAAGTTTTTTGTTCTAAGGACTTAATGTAGTTGGTAGAATGGAATGAAAAAGTTACATACTGATTGATAGATAAAGGTGGTACCAGCTTTCCATGGGGGATGTGACTACCCAAACTTAGGTATATGTTGGGGTCTGTTAGCCAGAATCCATATCTTGCTCCAGACCCCCTTTGTTCATCTTGTTGTAAAATAGGCATGTGACAGGAGGCAGTTAATTAAAGTTGGGGCAGCTACCCAAAGTTATTTGTGTAAGCATTAGGGACTCCCTCATAAAACAGTGACCAGAAGTAGGCAATTAACCAGAGTTGTTTATGGCTGCTTCTATGGGCACTGTGGACCCCATCCCATCTTCCAGGCCTTGGGATGAATACACAGTTTCAAAGGCTTTCTTTCACATATAGTGGAAATTATACATAGAATTTCAAGGACTGCCCTGCACCCATGTTAGCATGGTGTTTCCTGTGATGTTTGAACACCTGGCAGTATTATCAGACCAGGTTCAGGGCTGCTAAGTTAATGGGTGAGACATGTCTCCCTCCTCCTCCTTGCCTTGATTTTGCTATCTATCCTACCTAACAGTTAAAATAATAACTTTTATGTGTATTTTATGACATTTTTTAAAAAGCATTTATTATGGAGTTAGACCCTGATTTGAACCCTGACTTGGCCACTAACTTTGTGACCTTGGTCATGTTTCTCATTTTTGCCTCAGTTTTCTCTTCTGTAAAATGAAGGCAATAATGGTACCTACCTCAGAGGGTTATTGTGAGGATGAAGTCAGATAATGCATACAAAGTGTTCAACACTATGCCTGGCACAAAGTACAACTCCTCAGTCAAAGTTACTGTCAACATTACTACTCTCATGATCATCATTTTGAATCAGGCCTAAGACTAGATAGAGTCAGAACAATGCCTCATCATTAAGAAGTGAAGGAAATTTTCAAAGATTCTTTATGCCACAGAATCACCATATGCACCAGAGACCACACTTTTAGAAGCATTCAAGCCAAAGTTGTCTCTGGCATTGTAAGCTGCCTATCACCAAGCCACAACACCAAGGAATCATTACTACTCAAGAGAAGGGCCTATATTCTTCCCATGGGACATCTGGAGACATCCCATTCCTCCATTCTCCTCCTATCATTTCTGACATAGCCAACCACAGCAAGTTCTTAAGGCATGCCCTGTGAGTACTCCATTCTAATTCCCAAATCATAACTGCTTAAAATAGTTATCAGTAAATCAATACTGGTTGCTTCAGGATTAAGAACACTTTTAGCCTGGCCTGTGTGGTTCAGCTGGTTGTCGGCAGTAAACCAAAAGGTTGTGGATTCCATTCCCAGTCAGGGCATATACCTGGGTTGAGGGTTCAGTCCCTGTTGGGGTGTGTACTAGAGGCAACCGATTTATGTTTCTATCTCACATCGATGTTTCTCTCCCTCTCTTCTCCTCTCTCTAAAAATCAATACATAAATTGTTTAAAAAAAGAATGCCTTTAGAACCATGGAAATAGAAATGAGTAGCCTCTAGCTGGTATTAGCTCTTATGGGGCTATTGATTAATGTAGAACTTACTGGTGGTAACTTATTAAACAGCCTCACATTTTTTCCTGATCATTTTTCTGGGAGATTACATTCATGAATGTGTTCCTAAAATACAACTTCACCACATTAGCATAAGTTACTTGCAACATTATATTTAATGTGGTCAGTTGAATAGACTGAACTTTCTAATAATTCCAAGATATAAAAACTATGTGTAGTAATTGTAATATCAAACAGAAACAAATCAAAACCACATATGCACATCCATATAGCTTAAATAGTAAGGCATACCAAAAAAAACTGAGATGTTGATGCTGAATAATACCACCATTCCTTCCACAGCCATTGTTTATTGGCACCAGTAGAAATTCAGGGAAGTTTAACTACATACAAAATGTAAACTACCTTGAGTTACTTAATATATGAATTCCAACCAGAGTTGCATTCCATATACTCTGTTCTACAACTGGATTACTACTACCTCTTTGCTTGCTTTGTCTCTTCTGTAAAATTAGGATGATTATAATTGGTCCTGTGCTCCTCATATTTTGATGGGATGATAAAACCAAAGAAATGAATTTAAAAGGTAAAATGAAATTACATTTCTTACAGTTGTTTCTACTTGCATAATATACACAAAACCAAATATATTTTTCCTAAATCTAAGAGGATTTCCCCTGTCTTTTATGCTAGTTTAGTCAATTGTGATAAGATCAATGAAATTATAGTTTCTGGCTTAGCTGTTACAAGGTTGATAAGTGTATTCAAACTCAGTTTCTCT